TAGTCTATAGAATGTGAGGGTTTTTGACTTGGTTCCAACAAAGTCTCTTAGCAGTATTGCTCAAACAAGGGTCTGCAGACATATTTTTAGGATTTACAAATTCCCTATAAAATTTTAAATTTTGTTTTCATTGCATTAAATCTCTAAAATTAATGTAAATACACTATAATTTGTAAAAGTACCTTGTAACTAGCCATATAAATTTATTTATATTTGCATTTCTATTTTTAATTTAAATGAAGGACAAATTATAACCTAGCTGTATAAAAGTTTCACAGCAATTCAAATTTAAAGTAGTGGATGGGCTACAGTAGTAGCTCAATGGTGGAGCACATGCCCAGTACAGGTGAGGTACTGGGTTCAATTCTCAGCACCACATAAACATAAGTAAATAAAATAAAAGTACTGTGTCCATCTACAACTTAAAATAATAATATAATAAAAAAAGTAGTGAAATATATTTGTTCAACCACATTTTTAAAATGTGGCAAAAAACACAAAGCCTATTGTTTTAACCATATTTAAGCACAGAATTCAATGGCATTAAACACATTCACACTGTTGTGCAACCATCACCACCATCCAGCTCCATAACTTCATTTCTCCTAACTGAAACTCTGTACCCATTACACACTAACTCCTTCTTCTGCCTCCAACCCCTGGCAATCACCGCTCTACTCTGTCTCTAGAATAATATGATACATTATTGCCTCATATAAGTAGAATCATATATTTGTTCTTTCAGAACTGGTTTATTTCACTTAGTATAATGTCCTCAAGGTTCATCTATGAAGTAAAATATGTCAGAGTTCCTTCCTTTACACTGTGTATATGTGTGTGTGTGTGTGTGTGTGTGTATGTATGTATATACACATACATACACACACCACATTTTGTTTATTCATTCATCAGGTGATGGACACATGAATTGTTTCTAACTTTTGGTATTGTGAATAATGCTTTATGAACATGGATATAAAAATATCTTTTGAGACCTTGCTTTTATTTCTTTTGGGTATATTCCCAGAAGTGGAATTGCTGGTCATAATGGTAATTCTATGCTTCTTTTTTTTAGGAATTGCTATTTAATTTTTCACAGTGGTTGTACTATTTCACATTCCCACCAACAATGCACAAGAGTATTAATTTCTCCACAAGATTTATTTTCTATTATTATTATTATTTTTTTTTTAGTTGCAACCATCCAAAAGGATGTGAAGCAGTGTTTCATTGTGGTTTTGATTTGTATTTTTCTAAGCATCTTTTCATATGTGTGTTGGCCATTTGTATATTTTTCCTGGAGAATCAACCAACTTTTAATGAACACCTACTTTATCCCAGGCAGTGTGTTAACATTCAGACATAAAAGAATGAACAAAACCATTCAGTTATTACTTTAAAACAACTTGGCATATTACATGTTCATATTGTGAGTATTGTACTTTATGGATGCCATCTTTATATGACAGTAATAAACAGGCAAAGAACCTTTGTCACTGATCCACAATGACTTTGTTAGGAATCTATTTAATATAGATTTTAATGACACAACATTAATCATATCTTCAAGTTACAAATTTAGGAGGTAGCCTGACATAGTGCTTAACAACCTGATCTTTGGAGACTGCTTGGGTTTAAATCCCTGAGCTGCCTCTTATTTGCTTGAAAGTTTAGGTAAGCGACTACACCTCTCTGTGCTTCAATTTTCACACCTATAAGTGAAAATAATAATTGTGAGAATTAAATAAGCTAATATATGAAAAGCACATGTGCCAAGCATACAGCAAGTGCTCAATACATATAAGCAATTTTTAAATTACTAACAACACTTCTCTATCCAGTTATCAAGTGATATCCCCATTATAACTGGCATTTGAGCATTTCTTGTTGGCAGTTTTAGAAAAGTTTAAGGTCTAATTATTCTGAAATACCAAATGATATCTTGAGGCTTCTGAAATAATTTTATATAACATACTCACATTAACTGGCATTCTATACATTAGAATTATTGAAGTAAAAATAGAAACTATAGAGCCAGATCTGTAGTTAAAGTCATTCTTTTAAACTCGGTGTTGCTACTTTAGTTTCAGAAAAATAATATTATATGTCATATCAGATCTGTGTTTTTGTTTATTTTGGTACCAGTGATTGAACCCAAGGTCACTTAACCACTGAGCTACATCCCCAGCCCTTTTTGTTTTTGAGACAGTGTCTCACTAGTTTGCTTACAGCTTTGCTAAGTTGCTGAGGCTGACTTCAAACCCACAATCTTCCTGCCTCAGCCTCTCAAGCCACTGAAATTATAGGCATGTGCCACCACACCTGGCTCAAAACTGTGTTTTTCAGTCAGGGACAATTTTCACACCTATAAGTGAAGATAATAATTGTGAGAATTAAATAAGCTAATATATGAAAAGCACATGTGCCAAGCATACAGCAAATGGGACATTTGGCAATGTCTGGAGACATTTTTGGTTGTCACAATTCGGGGGATGCTACTGGCTTCTAGTGTGAGTAAGCTATAGAACTAATTAACATCCTACAGTACACAGGACAACCCCTACAATAAAGAATTACCCAGTCCAAAAATGTCAATAATGCAGGTTGATAAACTTTGCATTAGAATAGTGTTAATTTGAATTTCTTAATGTTGTAGTTTTGATTAATTTAACTTGTAAAACTACTTGTTTTTATGGTTGTCAAAGAGCAATATGCTTGAGTTTAGATCTAGTTTCATGTGGACATACATTCGATATTACAATAAAAATGTTTCATAATCCCTAGGCATTTGTGACAATTTTTCCTTTTAACCAAATGTGAAAAACACTGCTCTTTTGAAAGTAAGCACTATTTGCTGCTTTTGTCTTCTTTCATAAATACCAGCACCTGCTGTGTGGCAGAAATTGTATTCTGAGTACATGAATGAATACCATGTGGTCTTTGCCACCAAGGGCTATCTATGCAGGAAAAAAGGCTATACACAGGTACTAGCATTAAATAATTATGAACTTTCATTAGTCTCAGAAAGGAAATAAATAAATTGCTGTGATAGAAAATAATGGTATAAGGGAAGGATATTTATTTAAAAATATTTTTTTTTAGTTGTAGATGGGCAGAATACCTTTATTTATTTATTTACTTTTATGTGGTGCTGAGGATTGAACCCAGTGCCTCACACATGCTAGGCAAGTCCTCTCCCACTGAGCTACAGCCCCAGCCCCAAGGATGTGTAATTTAAAAACGTGGTCAGAGAAAATTTTTCTGATGAAGAGACTTCTCTCTGAGGAAAATACCTGCTTGAGATATTTAAATAAGAAAGGAAGGAAAGGAGATAATGATTTAGTTGTGGCGCTCTTCTCTGCCTCCCCAGCCCTTTTTCTATAATTTATTATCTCTTTTTTAGTTAAAATATTCAAGTACCCACAAATACTTTTGGAACATTGTATTCCTATATGGCATTGTGAGTTCTACAGGGGAAAAATGAAATACCAACCCAGTCTTCAAAGATCTTACACACAAAAATTAACGATTCAAAAAATTCACCTAAACTCCCAAACCCCAAAATCAAATTCACAAAGAAAAGGAGAAATCTATTTGACTTATAGCTTTTAGTGACCAAGAATGTAATTTGCCCATCCACCTTATCTACATCAGACAGACCTATATCCGTAACTTACTTTTGCATAAAGCTTTCTGAGCTTCAGTTTTGCTCATTTGTAAACTGCGGCTAAAAATACTTAGATTACCGAGTTGAAAGAATTAGGTAATATTCCTAGAAGCAGAATTAGACGAGTAGTTCAGATACTGGAGCAAGAGATCTGGGTTCAAATTTAAGCTCTGCTAATTACTAGCCATGACCATGGGAGTTAACATTCTGTAAAAGGAATATAGGCGGCTGTGAGGATTAAATGTGATAAAGCCCATGCACAATATTTACCACACAGCCCTTCCTCCTCTAACATTTCTGACTACAAGAAGGACTCCTCCCAAGTTCTTTACCTAGTGCAGTAAGGAATAATGGTCCCCTACCAAGTTTTTCACCCAGTGGGAAAGGAGTAATAAGGGAAACACCGCATACTCTAGAATTCATTTTTTCATTCAGCAAAATTTGCTGAGCACTTACGTGTGCTGAAAGCTGTGAATTTGGAACAGCCTTTAAAACTTAGTTTGAAACAGAATGCAAGAGTGAAAATATAAAAGTACACTTTTATATCCAGTTCCCCAGCAATTCTCGCTCAGACTCCTCGACCTTAGGAAGGCCCCCTCAAAGGAGGGACCATTCAGGATCGGCCCTCGGTTTCTCATCCTAGGCCCGGCGCCCTCAAGGCGTTTACATCCACAGCGGGCCCCTCGAACTGCGCTCCAGTGACCTGGCCAGGAAAACGCTACCCAGTGCTGCAAGCCCTGCCCTTCAGACTCCGCCTACAGGCACTGGCTCAGGTGCACGGATTCTACATTAGCTGGTTCCCGCGCTCGGAACCCAACACTGTACCTGCAAGCCACTCCTCTTGTTCCAGGTGAATATGGATCCTGGGTACCCGCTCAGAGCCAGAAGCAGTTCGTGGATCATTCCCACGGCGGAATCCTTAGATACGTCGCTTCCTCCTTCAGCGCCCCTCCAGGCGACCACGCCAAGGGAGCCTCCTCTTCGACACACGCACTGGCCTCTGGCTTAGGCGGTTTACCCTGAACCCGCCCTAGCAACTGCAGCCAGAGGAGCTGACGGGAAGCCGGGAAGGAACCAGCGCGCCGCGTCCCGGAAGTGTACCGAGCTCTGCTGGGCGCACTGCTAGCTCCAGTTCTGGAGTTTTGGTAGCTGCCTTTGCGCATGCGCCCCCGGTGCCCCGAGTTGCCGGCTCGAACTTCCGGCTTGGGAGCTGCACTGAGCGACTGTGGAACCCGGGCTGGGTTCTTTCCCGAGTGGGTGAGGCTGGCTTAGGGGCAGAGATGCAAGTGGGTTTGGGGACAGCTCTAGCGGGAGACGCTGCCAGGGTGGGGCCAGAGGGTGCCCTCAGGGTGGCTTAGCCCGGTCAGAAGCCTCTGGAGGGATTGCGCTACATCTCTGAGAGTGACCCGGCCAGAAGGGAGCCAAGACAAAGAGTCCGGAACGCCGCACCCTCAGCTTATTGAGCAGAGCTCGGCGCCTTCGAATCCGTAGTACTCAGAGTCCCTGGCCAGCGCCCAAGCTCGTTCTCAGGAAACTCATTTCTACTGCCCCTGGGACTTCCTCTCTCCATCAATTCAGTGTGACTCTCTTCAAGTTCTCCAGTCCTTGCTTCCGTACTCAAAACCAACTTTAAAACGCGAGGTTTCACGTCAGTAACTCCCTTGCTGAGCGGTTCTTTTACTGTGAAGGAAAACAAAGACTTGATATTCAGTACTTGATTTTTGCGTGGACTGGAAATCGATAGTTTGTAGCCCGAGGGGACGGGGTGGACGCAGAGGTCCTCGGGAAGGACTGGAGGTACTAGGGGAGATCAGCCGTGACCCCTGGAGAGAGGCTTTTTGTTGCCTTCCACAGGATGGTCTTTAGATCCTCTTGAGCCCCCATATGGTTCGAACTCACGGTGCAACATTGATCTGGGGAGTTAAATGAGATCAGATTCGGAGAAAATGGGAAAGGAGCAGATAGTACTATTTTCTGCAGCTTCCTGGGGCTGCCCTGTAAGTCGTCAAGAAGTGCAGCTTTTTAAAGATCATCCTTCTTGCTCATTGTTAACTTGCTGCCCTGAGAATGGTGCCACTTAGATGACCACTTGGAGCATGTAAGAAGTTAGGCCTGCTCTGGCAAGGCTGTAGACATGTGAATACATTCCTCTGTTAGTGTCATCTCTACTCTAGGAAGAAACTTCTTTTACACAGAGAGAGACTCATCTTCATTTAATTCTTCAAGGACATGGGAAGATAGGTGTAAACCCTGGAACTCTGACTCTTAATTAAAGGGAAGCTGCTTTCTGCTATGAATGATGGCCAAACCCACTTTGAGAGGGAATGGCCCTAACTCTGAAACCTTAAGACAACGCTTCAGGAAATTCCATTACCATGAGGTGGCTGGACCTCGGGAGGCTTTCAGCCAACTCTGGGAACTTTGTTGTCGGTGGCTGAGGCCAGAAGTGCGTACCAAGGAACAGATTGTAGAATTGTTGGTACTAGAGCAGTTCCTGACTGTCTTACCTGGGGAGATCCAGAATTTGGTACAGGAACAATGTCCAGAAAATGGAGAGGAGGCAGTGACACTGGTGGAAGATTTAGAAAGAGAGCCTGGAAGACATGGACCTTCGGTGAGAAGGGAAGGGGAAATTCAGAAGTGTGAGACTGGGAAGGGGCAAGGGTAGAGGGCCAATTTAAAGTACAGACAGGCACAAGTCTCCCTTATACTTCTGGTCTGCAACAGGTAACTTTTTCAGGGTGCTCGCATGAAGATTCTACCTGTGTGTAACCTCACCTTTCTTGTCACAATGAATTTTTGTTCATTTCATACTTTCTTACTTGATGGGGAAGAAAGAGGATTCCCCGCCCCCCATCCTGTTGCTTACTGCTTTGGTCTTTTCCTTCTGGTGTTCCAGCTGCTTTAAGCTAATGATAATGGAATAAGGGCTTTGCTATAACCTCCCAATACCCCTACAACTCTAGCCTTAACCTAGAAGGATGAACTCTGAACTCTGGGTGAATTAAATAATCTCCTCTGGGAATGCCTCTCACTATGATCTTGCAGTGACAATTGATGGGGGTTGTTTCTAGGTCACAGTCTCTGTGAAGGGGCAGGAAGTGCACTTGGAGAAGATGACACCCCTGAAATCATCACGAGAGTTCTTAAGTGTTCAGCAGGAGTCAATGGAACCCCAGCCCAGGAATGTACCCAAGAAAGAGAGGGCAAGAAGTCCAGACCTGGGACCACAGGAACAGATGAACCCAAAGGAGAAGCTCAGACCTTTTCAATGGAGTGGTGAGGAGTAGTAGATTCATATGGGAAGTTAGAATGCCATTCTAAGTTGGGAAGTAGGGTTGGGGATAGTGAGTGGGAAAGGGATTTCAGTGGAAATCATAGAATGTGTGGTTATTGGGTCTCCCTGAAGACATGCAGTATATTGTAGACAGCCCGCCAGTATATTGTCTTCTTATATGTCCTCTTTTGATAAGTCTTTTAAGAGAATGACTTCCTAGTTTTTATCAGGACTTGGAATTATTCTGTTAGTAATGGTAATAGTAGATCATATTTTCTAGATAAAAATGCTTTTCTATACTGGTGAGCACATCTTTTAGTTGTTTTACTTCTCCAAATTAAATCATACTTGTGTTTTTAAGCTTTCCCCCATAATCTCTATTCTCTAGACCTTAGCTTTTATTATTCTCTCATTTGGAACTTTTAAGTTCTCCAAATATGATAATTGTGGAGAACAAAATTATGTGTATTATTCCAGTGAGGGTGTGTTAGGTAGAGGCTGAGTTAAGAATTTTACTTCAGAATTTTGCAATATCTTCTTTCAGTATAGCTCAACTCATAATTATGGGAGGCTTTTTGTTCACCTAGTAACTTTCATATCTTTTCTTCAGTGCCTTTGTACCTAGTCTCTTATTCTTGGTCTTGATTGGTAGAACTTGTTTTTCTTCTTTGTACTCTAGTGAACTCCATTTTGTTTGTTTTTTTTCCCCCTTTGATGATTTCATTTAAAACTTGTTGAAGTTCCTTTGAATTCTGATCTTATCTTTCTTGAAGTTTGATATTCCTTTCGGTTTAGTCTTTCAGGTGAAATCCTCTAACCTCACACACAGACTTGCAGAGTTTATCAGTTCCTAAACACCTACAATGTGCTCAACATTTTGCAGGGTACTCTACAATAAGAAAAGGTACCTATCCTCAAAGAGCTTACAATATGATTGCAAACTATAAATATGTGCTAAACAGAACTGTATTGAAACAATGCTTAACAACAACTTAACAGTGTAAGTACTGTGGGGGTTTGAAAGAATGGAGATGAGGTAGGGCTGTAGTGAAGGCCTCTTGAAGGCATTGGCAAGTATAGCTTCTTGAAGGATGGGTTGAGTTTGGGTAGGAGAAAGGAAGTTAAAGGAAAGGTACCAAGTGGTGAATAACAGTGTAGTTGTTCTGGGAAGGAAAAAATAAACAGAAATGGACAGTGCAAGGCACTAAGGTTAAGGGTTAAGGCTCAGCAGAATAGTGTGTGAACTAAGGAAGCAAAAGCCTGAAGTTCGGGGCTGGGGTTGTGGCTCAATGTTAGAGCACTTACTTGGCATGTGTGAGGCCCTGGGTTCAATCCTCAGCACCACATATAAATAAATAAATAGAAGATCCCTTTACAACTAAAAAATATTTTTAAAAAAGAGCCTGAAGTTCGGGTGACTGCTGCAGTTATCCTCAAGTGAGAGGATCCAGGGTCTGGAAACAGGAATGGAGAAGAAGGATGTATTAAGAGAAACAGTTATAGAATTTGATGCCTGAGTATGAAGGAAACAGATGAGTTGAAGACAATCTCTTCTCCCCTCTCCTCTGAAATCACTGTTTACTTCTCTAGCCTGAGTAAAGAATAGGAGACAGGAGGTAACTATTTCTAGCAGTGCTACAACCTGTAAATAATGGTTCAGAAGGCTAGGGAGCAACTTGGAATAGAATTATTAACTCTGAACATACAACTGAACCTTTTCCTCTCTTGTCACTCTGCTCTGGAAAATAAAATACTTTTTATCTTTTGAGGTTTCCTATATTTTCCCCATTCTTCAACTCAACTGAACTTTCTGAAAACATTTCCCTAGATACTTCCTTTATAATCCCTTGGATAAAAAAAAGCAGAACTGAATTCAGACATGTTTTGTATAGTCAGTCCAAACTATGATTCCCTTTGTTTGCTTCTCTGTAAGCAGGATTTCCATTTCCTAAATCCGGTGTGGTCTCCAGGTTGGAGCAGGGAGAGCCATGGATCTCAGATCTGCTGAGCTCCAAAGAGAAAGAAGTCCCAAAAGGCAGCCACACAGGTGATAGACAAGTACATGCTGATATACTATCATCCAAGAGAGAGAGAAACTGGGTGGAAAAGGATCACTGGGGCTTTGAGGATGAGAAGGTGACAGGTGTACACTGGGGCTATGAAGAGACCAGAACTCTCCTTGCAATTCTTAGCCAAACTGAATTTTATGAGGCTCTCCAAAACTGTCATCGAAACAGCCAAGTATACGGGTCTGTGGCTGAGAGACTCCGGGAGTATGGTTTCTTCCGAACCCTGGAACAGTGTCGGACAAAGTTCAAAGGTCTTCAGAAGAGCTATAGGAAAGTCAAGAGTGGCCACCCACCTGCGACCTGCCCCTTCTTTGAAGAAATGGAGGCACTGATGAGAGCTCAGGTCATTGCTCTGCCTAGTAATGGCCTTGAAGAGACAGCCTCTCATTCTGGCCAGGTGAGTAGTGATGCAGAGACTAAGGAGCCAGGACAGGAGGCCTGGCAGCATGAGGAAGGAGCAGAAACAGCTTTGGCTGAGGCTTCTGACAGTGATGAATTGGACCTGGAGGCCACCCCCCAGGACTCAACTGCACCTGTCCTGTTCCGAAGCCCAAGTGGTAAGAAGTTTTTCTTCTGGGGGGTTTGGGATTAGAATTGAGGAGCAGTGAGGCTGCATATGGAGTCTAGAATATGCCACCTGCCAGTTTGGTCCCTTTTTTTCAATTCTATATATAATTCATTATGTTTTGGGGGAAAATAATAGTAAGGAAGATAATAGTAAGTAGTCAGTTGGTTTTTGAAAGAAATACACTCAGAAAATTCAAGAGTGTCTTGAAAAAGAATATCATTCCATTCCTTTATTAAAATATTTTTCCTGATTATAAAATCATTGCAGGCTCATTGAAAAAAATGTTGTATTTTATTATCTTTTCTTTATTTTTTTCCATCACTAATATAAATATAGGTAAGTCATAAATGTTGCTCATGTGCTAAATGCTTTTATTCTCATTATCTTTGTTCTTTTCATCTTTTTCCCACTGCCTTTTCTCTTTCTTCCAATTCTTTCCTGTTCTCCTTTACTCACAGTGAGTGGAGAATCATGGAAGGAAAATAATGTCCAACTGGCTCTCAGGTGAGAGGAAGAGTATTTGAACCCTCTTTCTATCCACCTTGGGCACCTTCAGGGAGCAGAGACTATAATCATCCTAATATCCTTTCCTGAAAGTACTACCCCAAGTGGGGGACGTGCAGCACTAGCATGTGTTCAAGGAGACAGTTTGCTCTTGCTTCCTTCCTCAATCTGGCTCCTGTCCATCCTATACTCCCTGAATACTATGCATGACTATAAGGTCCTTATTTTATACCCTTCAAGTCTATGCTATTGCTGGGCTTGCTTCATTGAAATTGTGGCAAATGAAGAAAGGCCATACTAGAAATTTGGCAGCGGTATGATTCTGGAAAGAGGCAGTTCCTTAGGGTTTTAAGTCATTCTGTGGGAAAATGAATTCATAAGGAAATAGGACTGGTGGAAAATGAGTGATCAGAGAACTTAAGGATAACACATTGTGGATGAAACAACTAATTGAGGGTCTTCTTACCCTAATCGGTGGTATACTAGTTTTCAGAATTCCAGAAAAACACTAGAAGGATGGGGAAATGGATTCTATACACTTGCTTTAGTATACATAATAATTGTTTCAGTGATCAGATGGAAAGGTCTTTTTTAAAGTTTGCTGAATTTGCTAAAGGATATACAGAAGCATATAGATCCTGAAAACATAAAGTATTTAATTAAAACATGAAGTTTTAATCTAGGAGTGATCTTAGGTGATTTTTATTTTCTTTTGGTGCTAGGATTGAACATGGGGCCTCATGCATGATAAGCATGTGCTCTACAACTGAACTACACCTACAGCCTAAATCATTTTTCTTGATGCAGTAGATAGGACTGAGTCATTGCAGCTCTAAAGATCTGGTTTAAGTAGTGCTGAAATTTCTCTTCTGGTGGCAGGTGTACACTGGGGCTATGAAGAGACCAAGACTTACCTTGCAATTCTTAGTGAGACTCAGTTTTATGAAGCCCTCCGTAACTGTCATCGCAATAGCCAGTTATATGGAGCAGTGGCTGAGAGATTATGGGAATATGGCTTCCTCAGGACTCCAGAGCAGTGTCGGACCAAATTTAAAAGCCTACAAACCAGCTATCGGAAAGTCAAGAATGGCCAAGCACCAGAGACCTGTGCATTTTTTGAGGAGATGGATGCTTTGGTGAGTGCCCAGGTTGCAGTTCCATCTAGTGATGGCCAGGAAGAAGAGATAGTGTCTTGCCCCATCCAGGGAAACAGTGAGGAAGAAGTTGAGAAGCAAGCTGAGGATGCAGAAGAGGCCATAGAAGAAGATTCTGATGATGATGAAGAGGATACTGAGATACCCCCAGGGGCTGTCATGAACCGTGCTCCAGTCTTATTCCAGAGTCCCAGTGGTAAGATTATTTTACTTCTTATGACAAAACATAAAAGAGAAGTAATGGGATTTAGAGAAAAAAACCATCAGATTGAGAACTGGCCTCTCTACCCAGCTTTCATGGATTCTTCTTTACCTTTATCTCTTCCCCCTCGTTTCCTGTTAGCTTAGTGAGCTGAGGTTAACTTATTCATGTGATTTGTCTTTTCACGTTCTGACATAGTGGTAAACTGTAAATTTGCTGTCATTTATGTGTGTGCTGCTCAGATTTCATCCTGTTTACCTGTTAGGGAATTGGATAACTTTTTCATGTCATGTACCCATAATAGGATGAATTAAAAGTTGGCTCTCATGCATGTTTTTCTTCTAGTTTCAGCAAGTATATTAGCTGTAAGTCTGTGTTCTTCACATGTGAAAACTTGACAACCCTTTTCTTTAGATAACTTTTGTAGAAATCAGAGATTTCTGTGGAAACTGACTGAATCTTAGCTGCTGTATTAAAAAATATATATATGGCTTCCTTCCAGGTGGGAAGAAGAGTTGTGATTTTTGGAGTTGTACCTATATATGTATGTGAATCTGGGCTGTGTTGTTTATTAACTGATTGACTTTAGAGCAAGTTACTTAAGCCCCAGTGTTGCTTAGACCTTGGGCTTGGGTAGCTCCATGGTAGAACATTTGGCTAATGTGTAAAGTCCTGGGTTCAGTCTCCAGCACTGCATAACAAAAACAAAAACACTGTCAGGGTTGATATAAATGAAGCACCTGTCACAGTGCCTGGGCACATAGTAGGTGTTCAAGAAATAATGGTTTTCACATTATTATTATTATTATTATTATTATTATTATTATTATTATTATTATTTGGCTCAGGGGCACTCCACCACTGAGCCACATCTCCCCCTATTTTATATTTGATTTAGAGACAGGGTTTCACTGAGTTACTTAGAGCCTTGCTTTTGCTGAGGCTGGCTTTGAACTCATGATCCTCCTGCCTCAGCCTCCCGAGCTGCTGGGATTATAGACATGTGCCATGGCTACTTCCACAGTCTTTTTTGGGGGTCCTGGGGATTGAACTCAGGGGCACTCTACCAATGAACCACATCCCCAGCTCTATTTTTGTATTTTATTTAGAGACAGGGTCTCACTGAGTTGCTTAGCACCTTGTTTTTGATGAGGCTGGCTTTGAACTCAAGATCCTCCTGTCTCAACCTCCCAAGCCACTGGGATTACAGGTTTCATAGTCTGTTCATCAACATTCTTTAAGGATGTCCCATGAACCTCAATTCCATGGGATATTTATTAGTGTATTCTACTAAAAAATGACTTTTAGATTTGAAAAAATACTAAGTAGACCTATTAGAGGCTCACAATACACTCACATATTTGAAGTTCTGAGATTTTGGGCTAATCTAGTGAATTTCTATTTCATGGAGCATCTCATAAAACTAGACTCATGCGTAGGAACTGCATTAAGTGATACATACAGACTGACATTCAGCATTCTTTTGCTCTTAGATTTAGTCTTGGGAATTTGGGACCCAAAGTTTACATAAAACATCTGAATAAGTACAAATTTTCAGAGCCTAGGCCCAAAGAAGCCTGGCATGTGGTACTTAGAATAGTAAAATGTTGCTGTAGCAGAATACTTGGGTATTAGGGTAGATGTTTTTGGAAATTTATTTATTTATCTACATATCTATTATTCTATTTATTTATTTAAGCGAAGAAAATGTTTTAGACATATCCTAGTAAAGTTTTTCTCTCACAAGTCCTTTTTTAAAATATTTTTTTAGTTATATATGGTCACAATGTCTTTATTTATTTTTATGTGGAGTTGAGGATTGAACCCAGTACCTCATGCAAGCCAGGCAAGTGCTCTACAGCTGTGCTACACTTCCAGCCCTGAAGTCCTTTTCTTTGAAAGATACTAAATATTTTTCTACTGTATTTATTTACACCATATATTGGAATTTGAAGGGGAGGAGATTTATGAGAATTCTTTCTGAATACAGAAGTTTCCCAAAACGTTTTCCTGGACATTTTCTTCTAATCCTTTTAGTTACTGACAAAGAACATGAACAAGAATACAATAATAGATCTGAGATGTAGCAAAAATACAGCATTAGAAAGTATCTTTCCTGTATACACATAGTGATAGTCTTCTCTAAAACTTTCTTTTACTGAGAGGACTTTCTAAAGATCCTGGCTACTCAAGAAGTGTTAAAGAATATATTAGCCAACTCTTATGTGGATTATGCAGCTGAGAAACATGTGATAGTTTACTAAGTAAAGAAGTAAAACTTTGGGATTTTAATACTATTAGTAATTTGGGATCAAGAGTTCCCTAATTTTTTTATATTTCATCATCTAGGATAATATTAGTTTTTCCCAGGTTTGCTTTCCCTGGCACATATAATTAAGGAAATGGATAACTTTTTAATTCTGTTCTTACACCAGGTTTTGAAGCTGGATTTGAGAATGAAGAGAATTCAAAACGGGATATTTCTGAGGAAGTACAACTGCATAGGACATTACTTGCAAGGTCTGAAAGGAGAATTCCCCGTTATCTTAAACAAGGTAAAGACAGTGAGAGTGAATGTAGATCAGGAAGACCGTGGGAAAAGACACTAGAGGAGAAGAGAGGAAAACTGACACTCTCAGAGAAGAGTTTAGGTAAAATCATAAGTCATCAAAGACTTTGCTTGGGAGAGAAACCCTTTAAATATCTCAGATATGGTAAAAGCTTTGGCCCAAACTCCCATCTCACACATCAGATTTCCCCCCAGGTAGAAAATCCATATAAATGTGCTGATTGTGGGAAAAGCTTCAGTCGGAGTGCCCGCCTCATTAGACACCGGAGAATCCACACTGGAGAGAAACCTTATAAGTGTCTTGACTGTGGGAAAAGTTTCCGTGACAGTTCAAATTTCATCACCCATAGGAGAATCCACACAGGAGAGAAACCTTATCAATGTGGTGAGTGTGGAAAACGCTTCAATCAGAGCTCAAGCCTTATTATTCACCAGCGAACTCACACAGGAGAAAAGCCCTATCAATGTGAAGAGTGTGGAAAAAGCTTCAATAACAGTTCTCATTTCAGTGCACATCGGAGGATACACACAGGAGAGAGACCTCATGTGTGTCCTGACTGTGGAAAGAGTTTCAGTAAGAGTTCTGACTTACGTGCACATCACAGAACCCACACAGGAGAGAAACCCTATGGATGTCATGACTGTGGCAAGTGCTTCAGTAAAAGTTCTGCCCTTAATAAACACCGAGAAATCCATACACGAGAAAAGCTTTTGTCACAGTCAGCACCTAAGTAAGCCTCTAAGGATAAATAAAGAAAAGAGCCTAAGTACATTTATTGTTTGGGAAGTTCCAATATCAAGATCCATCTCCTATTCTGTGCCCAACTGGCCTAAGAAGTAATCCTTAGGGTTTATATCATTGTTTGTTCCTTAAGTTTCTTCTACACCTATAGCCAAATTCCCAATGCAATCATTTTAAGAATAAAAGGAAGATTTCAGTCCTTCACCTTGCCTGTATCTGAAACCCATCTTTTCCTCTCAGTGCCTATGTTGTTCCCTTAATAGAGATAACATGGTAGTAGAGCTTAGGAATTTGATATGCATCTTTTTTTGACTCATCCTGTCATTCAGCTGCATTTCAGTTGGAAAAATCCATCACAGCAGCATTTCAGAGAGAAGTTGTGAGACTACTCATTAATTGGGTCTAGCTCTTCTTTATATCGTAATGAAAATGCTAAAAAGAATCCTGCTTACTTAAGCCTGTGCTTAGAGTGACATATTTGTCAGGCACATTCTTCATTTATCTTGGAGAACTGAATGTCCATCTTGGTTCTGTCCTGTGAATCTTTTTGTCAAAAAACAGGTATTCTGGGGCTGGGATTGTGGCTCAGTGGTAGAGCATTTGCCTAGTATGTGTGAGGAACTGGGTTCAGTTCTCAGCATCACATATAAATAAATGAATAAAATAAAGGTCTATTAACTACAAATATTAATATTTTTTAAAAAACAGGTATTCTGACTTGGGAAAACAATGCAAACCTTCTATAAGTACTAGGTATTGGACCCAGGGGCACTTAGCTACTGAGCCACATTCCCAGCCCTTTTTATTTTGAGACAGGGTCTCACTAAGTTGCTTAGGGCCTCACTACATTGCTGAGGCTGGTCTTGAATTTATGATCTGCCTGCCTCAGCCTCCCAAGTTGCTGGGATTACAGGCATGTGTCACCATGCCCAGCTGCTGTAATTATTAATAAAGGAAACAGCTGGCTGGCACTGGGGGAGAATGAATAACTTTCAGGAACTAAGTTGCTTTGGGAGACAAAGATCAGAAACCAAACTTAGTTTCTTCAATTCCTTGTAGGGTTAGAATAGAATAACAATACACTCATAGCATCCAGTTTGACTTTTTTCTGTCCCATCATGTGAATTTCATCTGTCCCTTGTAGTCTAGAAGCCCAAAGAACAAGCCATCTGAATGTGATGGTAGAAAAGGCAGTTAAAGCTGCCAATAGGGAATCATCCATTTTCCCTACACTCCAAACACTTAGTATAGTGTTATGCACCCTGTGGGTGCTCACTACAAACCTGGAACAAATAGAAGGTACTGCTGTGGTCCCAAATACCACTTTGTGTCATCTACCCTTTACCCTCATGGCAGGGTAGATGGGAACAACTGTGATCAATGGAGCTACCAATCTACCACGCTTACACACATTCAGCTGTATACAATTAAAAGCAACTCTTCAAACAAGTGTCATTACTCATCTTTATAACCCAATAGTATTGCATTAATTGCCCTTAAGTTCATAGTAGTATGAATGAGCCCTGTAAGGTACAAGTTAAACAGACCCTATCTTTATCCTCACAATGGAAAACAAATAACATTCACATGGACAAATAAGTATATAGTTGCTGCAGACAAAGAAATCTAGAAAGCTAGGTAGTAAAACTACATAAATGTTAAGGTCCAATGTATTAGTGTTTGCTACAAGAAAAATCTGAGGTATTTTCTTCAGGAAGCAGAAAGTATTCAAAAGAGGGGAGGATACTGGGTAAATTAGGGTGGTACGAACAGTGGGAAAATGGTGGAGCAAAGAGCAAAAGACAGAACATAAGGAAGGTTAGATAAAGCTTGGAGCAGCAAAAACTTTACAGATAGTATGACATGGCTCTGCAACAGGCAGAGTATTGAGAGCCGCAGCAGAAACGGCCACAACAAACTTCCAGCTGATTGGCTCCTCTGCGGTGATGCTCATCGGGCTGTTTCCCCGCCCTTTCAAACCACGGAGATGCTCATTGGGGGACTCTTTTGGCTCCGCCCACGCGACTCAGCAAATCTGCCTCAAGAGCAGGACCTAGGAGTCCGGTTGAGGTGCTGGCAGGAAGTGCTCTGGGGGAATTCCTGGAGAGCGTGTGGTAAGGCGTGGGTGCTAAAAATAAAGTTCGTTCTTGGTGAATTGTGCCCAGCCAGACTGAAATATGGAGTGCCAGAGGTAGACCATAACGTGGTCCACTCATTATGTGCAGCAAACCAAACCAGGTACTCGGCTGTGATTTTTTTTTTTTTTTGGGGGGGGGGGTACCAGTTATTGAACCCAGGGGCACTTAGCCACTGAGCCACATTCCTAGCCCTTTTTTTATTTTAGTCTCACTAAGTTGCTGAGGCTGGTCTTGAATTTATGATCCTCCTGCCTCAGCCTCCCAAGTTGCTGGGATTACAGGCATGGGTCACCATGCCCAACTGCTATAATCATTGACAAGGAAACAGATGGCTGGCACTGGGGGAGAATGAACAACTTTCAGGGACTAAGTTGCTTTGGGAGACAAAGGTCAGAAACCAGTATTTGCTGAAGACACTTTGATGAGCAGATCACAGGAAAGATGACACTGGCCAGATGGCCAAGACCTGGGGTAAATAACTATTTTTTAACATTCATGTTTAATTGGAACCCTTTGAATGGATTGAGATCTGGGAGATCAGTAGGAAGACAGAATATTCTTTAATTCATATCTTATTGTGTTAGAGTTTATAATTAGAGCTCTAGTGTTTAAGAATCCTAGTACAAAGAACAGCCTACATTCATTGCCAATTAAAATAAAAGAACAAGAAACACCAGTCTAAAGACGTGCCTCTGAATCTGAGATGGTTTAAGAAGTGTACTGTAACGTCAAGAAAAGAGATTTTTCTTTAGTATATGTATAATCTCGTGAAAAAAAGCATTGGTTTGGGTATCACTGGATACAAATTCTGGTTCCAGATGTCTTATAAGTTAACTGTTCCCTCTCTGTAAAGCAGAACAATGTTTATACCTAATCTGCCTCTCAGGGATACCATGTCAATAAAAATTATGTCCACAGAGTGCCTGTTATGTATGCAAATTATTATGATCAAGTTGTTCATGGTAAGAAAAGATAAATTTTTCCCTGTTTATACCAGAAGTATGTCTGTCTGATTCTTTATGCTCTAGGCAGTGAAAAAAAATTTACAATGTAGTAAAAAAGAATTTAGAACAAAAATACTTTCTTTTATATGAATCCATGTCCACAATCCATTAGAACCCATCCTAGGCATAGGGAATGAGTCTTATATGAAAACATCCAGGACCAACCTTCCAATCTCCAAGAGAATGTACAAGAAAAATAGGGCATGAGCATGCTGTCTCACCAGGTGAAGACCTAATTCATATGAAACTACCTCGCAAAATATTAAATGCCACCCAATCTGCCATTCATGAGGATGGGAAGAAGCAAAAAATAATAGACTTCAAACATTGTAAGAGAAACTAATGCCACTATTTGGGGAGCAAGATGACCTAGGCACCTCTCACTTTTTAATATCCATAAAGCCTTTGTAGGACCAGAGGTACTAATAGTTGTCATTTATTTTTATCAGGTGTTTCCTTAGTGTTGCACTTCTTTTTCATATTTTCCACATACTGTCATTCTTCCTTTGATTGCTTGTCCTCTATGACTAATACCATAGAATTTAACATTTATATGTATTTGCTGTGTTGTTGCCATTTCTCACTTACTGTAATACAAGTTAGAAGCTGAGTCTTGTCAACTTTGTGTAGCATTATTTTTATGGTGACCAGGTAGGGAAGGGAGAAGGGAAAGGAGATGAGGTAAGAATGTAAAGATGAATCAGTTCTTTCATTATTCAATTCAAAATCTAAAATCAAAACTTAACTCAATTAGCTATGTTATGACATGGATGTCTCAAAGTCTTCGCATATAAAATGTTACGGAGTATTCTCTGAAACCATGGTGCTAAAAGTAATATATGATTTATTTTACATATGATACATATAAAATAAACTTATTAACTTGTTTCTACTAGGCCCACCATAGAGTTCTTTCACAAACATAACTTTTGAACCACTGGAAATTAGGTTAAATATTAGAAATAGAAGCCCAACGTGTCTTTTTTTTTTTTAAAGAGAGAGTGAGAGAGAGAGAATTTTAATATTTAATTTTTAGTTATCGGTGGATACAACATCTTTGTTTGTATGTGGTGTTGAGGATCGAACCCGGGCCAAACGCATGCCAGGCGACCACGCTACCGCTTGAGCCACATCCCCAGCCCCCAACGTGTCTTAAAGGTCAAAAGGGTCTGGCCAGAAGAGCTCCGCTGTGATCAAAATATGACAGGGTAGATCATTTAACACGCATATATGTATGTATATTTGCATAGATTCCCAGGGGTATTTGGTTAAACCTATATAACCCAACAGATAAATTAGGGAAATGATTTTAAAGTCTTCCACAAATACTGAAGTCATCAAATTATTTAAGTAGAATTTACTTTAAAAATATTTTGTTGATATCTTCCTTAAACACAGAACAGAAGCTAAAGGACATTCATCTCATTCTACACAGTGAGGTATATACTCAATAACTTTATGCTGAGTGTCACCAAGCACCTGAGTATTTCTTTGGCCTCACAAATCTCTGCTTGCCCAAAATTGGCATTTAAGAATTTTTAACAGACAAGAAAGCAATATTTATGGGGCTGGGGTTGTACCTCAATTGTAGAGTGCTTGCCTAGCATGTGTGAGGCCCTGGATTCGATCCCAAGCACCATATAAAAAAAAAACTAAATAAAATAAAGATATTGTGTCCATCTACAACTAAAATATTAAGAAAAAAGAAAGCAACATTTGAAGAGACAAGGATGAAGTTCTAATAAGCTTAGTGGTCTTGATGTAGAACTAGAATAGGCAAAATTAAGGGGCACTCCAGATAAGTACAACTCTTGACCTCTGTGTTCATTTGATGTATTGATAAGACACAAGCTATATATGCTCTTAGCAACAGAGAGAGCAGAAGTAGCAGCTAGACTGGTGACCAGGTAAATATGGGATGGGATTCAAAGATGAAAGGGGATATATGCACAGGATTATCTACTATTATCAGTAAAAGGTAGGCATATTTTTCAAAATGCCAAATCATTGAAAGAGTCAAGAAAATAAGGCTTTCTGAGGGCCTATTCCAATCTGCATACATATAGTTTTTGTTTGTAACTTTTTTATCTTGATATGATTTCAATTTTACAGGAAGAGTTCCAAAAGGAATTCCTATATATCTAGATGGACCAGTTTTATTTTTCCCATTTGCTTTCATATATATATATATATGTACACACATATATATATATATATATATATATATATATATATATATATATACACACACACATACATACACACACATACCCCTAAATATATTTTTTTAAAAATCACCTGAGTTAGAATAAGTTTGCCCTTTTCTCCTAAATACTTAATATCAAGTATTTCCTTTTAAAGTATAAGAACAAAGACATTCTCTTAAACCTTAATAAAGTTTTCAAAGTCAGTAAATATAAAATTGACATAACATTGTCTACTCAAATTTCTTCAACCATTCCAATAATTCCCATTATAGTAAATTTTTTCCTTGTCCTAGATCATGTTTTATATTTGTCATTTCCACTCCCTCACTTTGTAGTGCTGGGGATGGAACCCAGGGCCATCCTGGAGTGCATGCTAGGCAAGCACTCTACTGCTGAGCCACACGCTCAGCCCTTTACTCTTCTTTAATCTTAACTTGCCCTTTGTTTTCCTTTAGCCTCACATTTTTAAAGAATATTAGACTTTTTTTTTTTTTTTTAGAATGACCCTCACTGTTTAGGTTTATGTCACTGATGTTTCCTCATGATTAGATTGAGAGTGAGCACTTTGACAATTAATAAAAGGGATGTTTTGTCTTTCTCAGTGTGTCAGGAGGCACATGATGTTAAGTTTGTCCCAATATTGGTGATGTTGATTTTGTTCTTTGGCTATGATATATTTACCAGAATTCTGTTATTTTCCCCTTTGTAATTAATATGTGGAGAGTAATTTTGAGACAATGTTAAAGATCCTATCCCTCAAACTTTCACCCATCAGTTTAGTATCCATTAGTTTTCTAACTCCATCCTTTTTAAAGTATAATATTAGTATACTGTAAGGAAAAGTATTCCCTTTCCTCCTACTTATTTTTATTAGTATAAACTCATGGATTCTTACTTTAATGGGTTAAAAACCTATCACTGTCATTTATTTTGATGTTCAAATTATCCCAGATTTGGCTAGTAAGAACCTCTTCAGATTTGCTCTTTTGTTCTTTTGTCCTTTGTGCACTTCTTATTTTTTGATGCAACAAGGTATTCCAGGCTCATTTGTACACTTTCTGCCATGACCTTTTTATCAGCCTTTAATTTTATATATTGACCTCATATTCTGTGGGACCCTGATGGTGCATTTTTTTAGTTCTACTTGTTCTTGGTAGATTCCTTAGGATTTTCTATGTAAATAATCATGTTATCTGTAATAGAGATATCTTTCCTTTTTCTTTTCTAATCTTCCCTCCTTTTACTTTTTCTTTCCTATTGCACTGGCTAGCTAGGATCTCTACTTCAGATGAAGACCAGTGATTAGAGCATATATCTTTTACTTGCTCACAATCTTTAGAGGAAAACATTCAATACTTCACTATTAAATTTGATGTCCAGGGCTGGGGTTGTGGCTCAGCGGTAGAGCGCTTGCCTAGCAAAGTGTGAGGCCCTGGGTTTGATCCTCAGCATCACATAAAAATAAATAAATAAAATAAAAGTATTGTGTCCAACTACAACTAAAAAATAAGTCTTAAAAAATTTGATGTTAGCTGCAGATTCTCATAAATTCTTTTGTCAGCCAATCTATGAATTTTAAATTTTGAAACTTCACACAGGAAAACTTTGCTGTACTCATGCTCCTACACCGAGTTAAGGCTAGCATGACTTTTATATTGTGAAAATGATTTCACAACAAAGTTAATAAATTAAAATCATTTGTCCCACTAGCTTTAATATACATATATATGTGTGTGTGTGTGTATATATATATATATATATATATACATACATATATGTGTGTGTGTGTATATATATATATATAACAAAATTGTTTATACCATTTTCAATGAAAATATGATGTATATTTTCATATCATTAAATTTTGTTCTACAACATTTTAGAGGCTGTAAAACATGCACATTTTGAGGATAAATAATATTTTTTAACTATGCAATATCTGAGTGGGTGGGGGTAAAGAATAATATAAAGCTATATAAGGTTACAAACAATCTAAGAACTTCAAAAACCTAAGAGCTTCCCTCTACCCTGTTCCCTAAAAGAAAGACAAACAAAGCTTATTAGAAACCTTTAGTAATTGAAATTAGGGATGTCATCATCCTTTCTTTTCTCATACCAGGGAAAATATACATTCTAACAAGAAAAGCAATTCAAGCATACTTTGGTATCTAATAAATTATCTTACCATTCAGAACTAATCTTAGTTGTTCCTTGTCTTCAGCTAAAGGAGCCATGATATGTGAGTTTATGTAAGTCTGTGTGTGGTCCATTGTGTAGGGGAGGGATCATAGGAAACCTAAAGAATTCTAGTAACCCCAACATTATCACTACTAAAAATAACTTTTGAACTGAGGAAAATGTTGAGTACTGGGGTGGAAATCCTGGCAGCTTCCACAAAGAAAAAGCTCAAGTGACAGAAACACCTGAAAATAGAAACTGCAGCAGTTTCCTTCTCACTCCTCAGTCAGCTACTGTCTCCTAAATTGGAGCAAAGACTTCAGTCCCTCTCAAGTATTGACAAGGACAGTCATGAGAAGGGCAAAGCCAGATTTTAACAGCTAGCTTTGTAACTAAGATACCCAAAGTAAATGAACCTTGACTATTAGGCATTCACACAACTCTATGGTGTCTGGTGTGACCTGGCATTAACAGTCTTGGGGGATAATACTTAAAAGAGTTAAAGTAAATGAGGGGAGTCTAATTAAAGTAAGCACAACATAATACAGAGCTATTGTCAAAAGCTTGAAACTTTAAAGGTATTGGCGATCATATGTTTCCTCTTTCTCCTTACCTTACACTAGTAATTCCAAAACTTTTCCTAATGAGAAATTGGCATGGAGGTAAGCTATGTAAGACCTCAAGGCGAGCTGAAAGCAGAGTTTTGAGATGACACTTGATTCCCTGCTTCTGCTGGTGTTCCAGCAGTTGGAGTTCCTCTGCTTCTGCTGGTGGGTGGGGGTCTATGTAAGGATGCAGGCCTCTGTAGCCAAAAAATGTTGCATCCAGTAATGATGGGCCATGCCCTCCAGTCTTGCAGCAGACCCCCAGGAGCTCACCACCAATTTCTTCTTGTTTCTGGATTCTTGTCTCATGAATTTGAAGAATGAAATCCACAGACCAGGATGAACAAGTGTAAGGACAGGGTTTACTGAAGAATAGAAACAGGAACAGAACTCTTGCAGTACAAGAAGGCACCGGATAGCAGGTTTTCTCCGTCTGAGTGTGCTTGTCTAGGGGTTTATATAGCACTTGGTTCAGTGTTATTGGTCCAAACTTAAGCAAATCAGGGTTTGCAAAAGTACTAATGCCACTGTCCAAAATTATGCTAATTTTAAATCCTATTTGGAAAAGTACTAACACCATTGGTTAGTCTAGAATTCCATTCAGGTTTGCGGTGCTTCCATTTTCTCCCCGCTTCTTGGGAAGCAGGAGGTTGAGGTCAGTGAATTGCACATGTTCAGTAGGGGCAGAGGTCCCTATGAAGCCCCATGGTGCCCAGCAGAGCAGGTGTGTGCACTATTTGGGGCTGAGCTGTGGTGGGATGACAGGTCAGTGTGTCTTGGCTTGCCTATGGCATTGGTCCACCCTGGTTCAGGCCCTCTGCACTTCAGGCCCACGCTGGCATGGTAGTCTCTGTGCAGCCATGGCCCACACTTGCTGTCTGCACTCCATCTGACCTGGGCTGCTGCTCTACCACTCCACTCCTCCCCTGCTGCTTCTTGGTAGGAACCAATGACTGTCTGCATGGCTTGGCAGCCAGGGAGCCATGTCACTACTAGTCAGTTTAAGACCTATTTACTGGTCACCTGCCATATGTAAGGTCCTGGTGATAGAGCCCATTAATTTGCTATGCTTTGAAGGAAGTGGGAGACAATTTACTGAATGGGACATAAAAGAAAGATCTTGTTTGCAACATATACAATAGTAGTTCATTCACTTTGGGCTGGGGATGTGGCTCAGTGGTAGAGGATTGCCTGGTATGTTTGAAGCCCTGGGTTTGATCCCCAGAACATCAAAAACAAAACAAAACAAAACAAAATTAGTTCATCATCTTATATCTCAAAAGTGTAACACTTTGGGCTTCAGATTTTTCCACTTCTTTCTCAGTTCAGATCTAGTGCTGTCAGAAGCAAAGATGTAGCTGATGGATTCATAAGACAGATCCCATACCTGAGACTTGGTTAAATTAAATGTTTCAGCAGCCAGTTGGTACTCTTGAGAAAGGTATGTCGCAAAAACACCCTTATCATCAGTCTGTCAATATAAATAAGAATGTTTCAAAATAAGTAAGGAAAATACTTTTTTAAAAATAACTCTCTTCTTTATATTTTCTTATTTACCAAGCTTCTTTAAACAGTCTAAATAGGAGCCTATAAATGTATATATGCATATCTGTAAGTAAAGAGTCTTATTTATACTAGAGCAGTGTTTCAACCTTGGCTGCACATTAAAATCACCTTGGGAGCTTTTAAAACATCCATGACTAAGACTTACCACATAATTTCATGGGATGGGTGCTAGGGTTCGGTATTTTAAAAAAAATTCCCCTAGATATTGTCCAGGACCCTTTCCTACAGACCCAGACCAGAGTCACCCTGGCCCACTGCAGCCTCTCAAGGACCAACCCCCTCTTAACTCCTTTAGTCAGGCATTCCACTCAGGCATTCCCCTCAGGCACTTAAAGCAGCCTAAAAAAGAGAGAGAGAGAGAGAGAGAGAGAAAGAAATACTTCTTGAAAACACCTTACACAGATCACAGAAGGATGAGCAATGCTGTACCAAAATCCAAAGTGATGCTGGTCATAAGATGGAACTGTCTGACTTTTGATGTTTGAGGTCAAACAGAGTTCTAGATGGAAGGGGGAAAAATCTCATTAAAAGCAATAAATAAACTCATACAGTGTTCACCAAGTGGACCCATGAGAAATATTTACAAACTATGCTGGTTTGCAGCAGTTTTATTATTCTTCACAACTGGCCTTTCCTTTTGTGTGATATAAAAATTTATGGGGCTGGGATTGTGGCTCAGCGGTAGAGCACTCGCCTAGCACGGGCGAGACCCGGGACAATCCTCAGCACCACATAAAAATAAAAAATAAAAGGCATTGTGTTGTGTCCATCTACACCTAAAAAAAAAAAAATTATAGTTCAACTAATGTAGTTGTGCAGGAAGTATGTGCTACACATATGGCAACAACTGAACCAGACAAGGAGTTAATACTCTCTTCACAGCCATGTGATTCCCTTTCATTACCAAAATGGAGAGGAAAGAGAAATGTTATAAGCCAGTCATGATGAACAAGACAGGAAATTATGACAGTGGAACAGAAGCGTTTTTGAAGGGCTATTGTAGTTCCTCCTGGTCTTATAGAGTGGAGACCAAAACAAAGATAAGGAAACTTTTTTAGCACTGCATGAGAGTTACAGCACTATAAAGAGGCAAAAGTGGGCCAAAGACTTTTCCCATGGCTTCTAAGAAAACTTCTGAACACTCTTACCCAGACCATCCATTCACTGCCTGCTGCTTCTAGGTAAGTTCACCTTAAGAATTACTTGTGCTATTAACAAATTCCTACCTTGAAACCCTGTACTTGGCTCCTCAGCCAGAGTAAAACACTTCACTGACTTGACTGCTGGCATCTGCACACTTGGATAAAGAAGCCTCAGTACAGGTCCACTGAGTCCAGGTGATGCTCCCTCACTTAGCTGGGAGCAGAGCTGGGCCACCACACCAAATAAGATCATTATGAAAGAAATTTCCATTCTCTCTACTTTTGTGGATATTTAAAAGTCTTAGTAAAAAGAAAAAAAATCTCACTATGAATTGCTAAAAACTCTATAAATACTTTAAAAGTATACATCAAAGGTTTTTTGTAAACTGATCAATTTGTAAATTTAGCAAATTGACCATTCAGTAAAATGATTTGTATTCACTTCTTATCGTCTTCAGAAAGACCTTCCCTGATCATCAAGAAAGTGGTTATCTGATCACTATTTTATCATCCAGTTTAATTTTCTTCATAGAACTTAACAGTGATATTTTCTTATGTATTTGCTTACTATCTTTTCTCCACATGAGTTACTTGAGAAAGAAACCCTGTCTGTTTTGTTTACTGCTCTATTAACAGTATTTAAGAACATTAACAACAAAGTAGGCACTTCATAAATACATACACCATCAAGTGTGTAAAGTTAACAGACATGTAAAAATATATTTTTTGAATTTTCCATAATTAGTTTTTAAATAAATGCCACATATTTTATGACACATGTCAATTTCATAAAAGCTATTTTCAAAATCCTGGTGACCCTCAGTCCTTCAAAAAATACTTACTGAGGATTATTGCAGTGAATAGAGAGGGACCCACTGTCATGGAGCTTACATTATAACAGGAGTTAAAACTCTCACTTAAATGAGGCTCAGAAAACATACATCCAATGATTCTTTGAATTTCTATATGATATTTATAATTTTAGAACAGTACTTTTCCACTTAGGGCTTGCAACCTGGGGGTTGAGGGACAAAGAGCCAGAGGATTGTCTGAGAGACCTGAAACCTAAGCCTTACCTAGTGGGATTTGGTGTTGCCTCACAAAATCTACCAGATTGAGGGATCCTTCCTCAGAGGAGTTGAGAAATGTTCCATGTCCAATTCTGTCGGGAAGTAGATCCAGGAGCATTTGTGTTTCTTTATTTTGGTTTGGAATCTTCAGAAAAGTAAGAAAAAGGGATTAATGATCTCTTTCAGTTGTTCTTACTAATTTTTTTTCCTATACTGTGTACTCTTGTCCCTCTGTGTAGTTAACATAGATAGCTTTTTTTTTTTTTTTTTTTTCGGTACCAGGACTTGAACTCAGGGGCACTTGACCACTGAGCTGTATCCCAAGCCCTGTTTTGTATTTTATTTAGAGACAGGGTCTCACTGGGTTGCTTAGTGCTTCATCTTTGCTGAGGCTGACTTCATGATCCTCAGTCTCAGCGTCCCAGGCTGCTGGGATTATAGGCTTGTGCCACTGTGCCCGGCACCTTTTTTTTTTCCTGTTCTTTTTTTGGTGCTGAGATTGAACGCAGGGCCAGGTACTCTACTACTGAGCTACATTCACAACCCCTTCTTCCTTTTATTTATTCCTCAATATTATTCTACATTAATTTCAGTAATAACAATAAACTTAAACTTACTACAATCTTACTTTGTGCCATTCCATATCAATTCTTTAAAGCTTATAACATTTTATGATTACAAAGTGTTAAGATGAAGAAATTAAAACTCAGAAAATTTTCAAAAAACAATAACACCTAACTCTGTATGCATGTGTGTTTTGTGTTATGTCTGTATGTTCAAAGATATTCAAAAAAGATTTAGAGAAATATAAAAACAAAACTGTTAACAGCATTAACTTTGGGGAGCAAAACTGAAATGAGAAGGGGACTTTCATTTTAATGTTTTTTCCTTCTGTATTATACTTCCCTACACTTGAAATTTCTTCAGATACATAAAACTTTTGTAGTTAAAAATATAAAGTATTTTTAAAAAGTTGTTCAAGGGCCTAGAGCTAGTGTATGGTAGAGATTATGGGTAAAACCTAACTCCATCTGATTCCAGGGCCCAGACATTTCTCACACAATGTGCTCATGTTCTACTTTGACAAAGCTCACTACCACAATTACCATTAAAATATCCAGCTGGACTGTTTATCTCCTAGACAGCCCAAAGGCCCAAAAAGGTAAATGATCAGAACATTTTGAAATGAAATGTTACAATTCAAAGGAGCAATAGAAACTACTGTGCAACAGAAACTAAGGTGCGTACCTCGGCCAGAAACCTCAGCAGGTGCATACCATCACACCGAGCCCTTACCATTAATTACATTTAAAAATATTTCATGGTGGGTGTGGTGGTACATGCCTATAATCCCAGCAACTCAGGAGGCTGAGGCAGGAGGATCACAAGTTTAAGGCCAGCCTCAACAACTAAGCAAGGCCCTAAGCAACTCAGTGAGAGCCTATCTCAAAATTTAAAAAAAGTGGGCCTAGGGATGTGGCTCAGTGATTAAGCACCTGTGGGTTTAATCTCTAGTGCCAAAAATATAAAAATCTACAACTAAAAATATTTCTACATTTCCCCTTCAAAAATGTTTTTCTAAGCCAGGTTTATTTTTACTCACAAATAACTACTATATTCTATTAGAATCTGCCCTCTTTTACTAAAACAATATTACTTACCTCTGAAAGATGCAATGCCAACTTCAGACCTGCTTTTTTAGCTTCTAAAAGAGGTTCCAAGAAATCTTTGGCTTGTCCTATCTTGAAGATAAAAGTTAAAATGAGGATACATAGGAATTCTAGGCAAACTGAGGAACTGGATATTCTGTCCCAACAAACAAATAAATAAAATAATGGCAGACCAATTCATTTGCACATTTTATAGAATACCTACAATGTGCCAGACACTTTGGAGAATACAAAGCTGACAAAGGGACAGTCCTTGCCCTCTAAAGCCCAGTATCAGTGAACCTGAGGTCAATCAGCTAAACGTGATATGCAGTCAACAAATTTTATTTCTGGAAAGATATCTAAATATGCAGTGCTCAGGAGAACTCACTTGATTCAGAAACATTTTATGATTACTAAAAAACTGTTAAATTAAAACAAGATGCAGAATAGTCCATGTTTAGATAAAGTCATCAGAACCAGTTTCATTGAACACTAATCATTCAGAGGTTTTCAGCCAGATGATTTTGCCCTCCAGAAAATTTCTGGCCCTTGCTGGAGACATTTTGGTTGTCACATGGGAGGTTGCTACTGACATCTACTAGGTATTGGTCAGGGATGCGCTAAACATCCTATAATGCTCAGGACAGCCCCCACAACAAAGAATTATCTGGCCCCAAATGTCAAAATATCTGCTTAAATCTTTCACTGAAGCAACTCTAGACAACCATTCTTATCTGGGGATTCTATGAGAATAAATAAGCCCTAATACTCTTAAGACATCCATCCCCTGTACCTAATGAACTAACTTCTCTTCCATGCATATGAGCTGGTAATAGTTATGCACTATCTTTAGAAGAATGGAGAAAGGGCTGGGATGTGGCTCAAGCGGTAGCGCGCTTGCCTGGCATGCGTGCGGCCCAGGTTCGATCCTCAGCACCACATACAAAGATGTTGTGTCCGCCGATAACTAAAAAATAAATATTAAAATTCTTTCTCTCTCTCTCTCTCTCTCTCCCTCTCTCACTCTCTCTTAAAAAAAAAAAAAGAATGGAGAAAATGGTTATATAATGAGGAAAAAAATTTAATGATGCTTAATTCTTTCACAGAATTTTAGCTGAGAACACCTGCTCTAGACATTCTGGTCATCCAAGGCAGAACAAAGCTTCATTTACAGAGTATATGCTGGACTCTCTGGAGAAGGTAGGATGCTCCACGTTAATGCTTACCCCACTGAATGCTTCTAACATTAAGAAATAAAATATATTTAGAAAAAATAACTTACGGTAGGGTCTCCACTGAGGTCAAGGCCAAGAACTGTATCTTCAGTAGAAAGGAAGAACTCTTCAGCAAGTTTAACAGTCTCCTTGGCTACTGAAGGGCCGCCTCTTCTGTCAATTGCCATCAAATATCTTTAATATGTGAAAAATAGATGAAAATTATAATGATGCAAATGAAAAAGACAACTCTAGTGTGGCTAGATAGGTATAGCAAGCCACATATAATACAAATTACTAGGGAAAATAAAGCCTGCACCTAGACAACATGAAATTTTACTTTACCAGGGAGAATGAGATGTGAATTCTTAAATAGCATCAAATACCTAGTTAGAACTCTTAGTTTGTATCTGAAAATATAAACTATTTGGAACATCTGGATGATAAAATCTTTTTGATTAAAATTAAAACAATCTTTATATTAAAAAATCTAGTTAGTGTTCAAATTTCTAATTGTCTCACTTGTTTTATTTATTATTTGATTTTTTACAGTTTTAACAGTTTCTTGATACAGGATTCAAATAAGGTCTACATCTTGAATTAGTCAATGTATCTCTCTCTTTTTTTTTTTAAATCTATAGCCACTCATTCCTCTACTTCCCCCAGTCCCACCCACCTCTTGTCTTGCTATTTATTTATTGAAGAAAATCAGGTTGTTCATTTTGTTGGTTATATCCTGTGTTAATATGTTTCTACTATCTCTTCTATTTCCTATAAACTGATAATTGGATCTAGTCTAGAGGCTTAACCAGAATAGATTCAATTTTTGGCAAGAATAAATAGGTGGTAGTGTGTTCTCAGGAAGGCTTAGATTCATTATTTCATTAGGGTACAAAATTAGTACAAATTCTAATTTAAAAATGTATCAAATATCTGATTCATTCTTCATACATTAGTTGGGATTCTATAGGACTCAAATACCCAAAGAATCCCTGGTAATATTGTTGTGATTTTTCTCCAGCATTTATTAATTTATTTATTCACAAAATAAATTCCTTTAGCATTTGTTCATTTATTTACAAAATTTGGATCAATTATATAGAAAATACAGGGTCTTTTCCTTCACTCAATCTCCTGTACCATTAAGTAACGGTAGAAAATAGTAAAACTAATATTTACATACCATAATGTAATTGACCTCTGATTGCTGGATATTTTAGGATGTTTTCTTTTTTGTTATAAATAATACTACAATAAAGTCTTATGCACAAATTAATCTATTTCCTTATAATCCATTTCTAGATCTGTTTTCTTTATGATTCATTACTGTTCAGAGCAAAAACCATCAAAAATCTTGACACACTGCTCTTTTGAGAGATTTTATTAATTACATATGGTATAATAATAACAGCAGTGTATAACTTCACAAACACTAGTTCTATTTTTTTTTAACTTCTGAAACAATACTGTAATCCCCTTTTAAGATTACCCAATTAATGAGGTTAAATATTTTATATGATTTCCTTTCTTCATTGTATTTTTGTCTTCTGCTGGGTCTTTCATTGGGCTTTTAGTCTAATTAAGCTTAAGTTTTTAGAGATCTTATAGCCTGAAACTCTTCAGCTAACTTGCCTTCTTTCTTCACTCAAGGACTTACTGAGTCCCTACTATCTGCCTGTTCTTCAAAGTACTGGAGACATAGTGGTAAAGTAAAGACAAAGTCTTTGGCCTCTCTGAACTTAAATGCTGGTGGGCGGGTATACGCACACAAATAACGCAAGATAATTCTGTGTCTCTTATAAAGAATGCCATAAAGGAAACAGATGGTGACTAGAGAATTTGTGTGTGGGGGGGTGGGGTGTGTGTAGGGGAAGGGTATTTAAAGTGCTAAGGAAGGTGCTTCTGAGGAAATGACAACCAAATTGAGACCTGAAGATAATGTGAAAAAGCCTACTGTACAAGGATATGGTGGAAGGTGAAAATGGCAGGAAGTACAAGGTGCTAAGTGGGATAGTTCTGGCCTATTTTAGGAACAGAGCATAGACCAGTGTGTAGTAATTGAGGATAAATGGTCTAGATAAGCTGTAAAAGTAACAGATGCAGTAAGACCACAGGGACCATGGGGGCCGTGGTAAAAAGTCCAAATCAGCTTAACAGCACTGAGAAGCCATATTCCACTTAAGTAAAAATACTCAGAATTTTAATGCCAGATGACTAAATTCAGAATTGTAGTCTTATCTTAAACAATAGAGGTCTTGATTTTATTTTTTTTCTCTTATAGGTAGAAATCAGTTAATGGACAAATTTTTAAAAATCTATTACATCTATGATCAAAATATAAAAACTTCACATTCTGGTGTTTTTTGTTTGTTTGTTTGTTTTAATGGCTAACTACTAAGGTACAATCTTCTTACCTAACATCAATGTCTAAATTTTCTTGTTTAGACTGTTTTATACCCTCAAGTATGGATTCCACATAAGTCTTTTTAGTCATTCCTGGAAAGAACACACAGGAAACATACATAAAGAGATCATTAACTATTTCATCTTTCAACTTTAGCATCCCTATATGAACAATTACATTTTCACTTCATGCTATAACAGAGCATGGTTAAAGCTTTATGGGTACATTTTAGTAAATGATAATTGTAATTTAACAAACTTGAAAAAAAAAGTAATGGTAGAAAAACGAAAGAGAAAAAACATGGCACTATTGGGAAGTGGTGGAACCTCAGGAGGTAGGGCCTACTTGAAGGAAGTAAGTCACTAAGGGCTAAGACCCTGGGGGACATACTAGGACCCTGCTTTCCCTCTCTCTTTCCACATGTCAGTTACCATGAGGTGAGCAGTTCTGCTCCATCATGTGCTCCCCACCATAATATTCTGGCTCACTGGCCCTAGTGCTACAGGCCTTCAGTGAGGCAGAAAGGTCCCCATGAAAATAGAGAATAATAGTATAAAAGTTAGTGCTCATACTCCCAACTTCTAAACACATGAATGATTAAAGTACATCGGAAAATGGATAGTATGTTCATTGAGAAGTAATTGAATTCTACCAGTATCATTTTCTCTTCTAGGTGTGCTCCTCAGTTCCAGGTACTTGACACCATCATCTGCAAATTCTTTAATGACATCTTTTGTGACCTGATAATAAAGGCAATGTACACAACATTACTAATGTTAGAGCTATGGTCACAGTGGAAGTGCCAAGTGGCACAGCTTTATTTCATTTATTAAATCTGATTTGTGACCAGGCATGGTGGCACACACCTTTAATCCCAGCAGCTCAGGAGGCTGAGGCAGGAGGATCATAGGTTCAAAGTCAGCCTCAGCAATTTAGCAAAGCTGTAAACAACCTAGTAAGACCCTGTCTCAAAATAAAAAATAAAATAAAATAAAAAGGGCTGTGGATAGTGGCTCAATGGCTATGCACCCATGGATTCAGTCCCTGGTACCAAAAAAAAAAAAAAATTTTTTTTTACTTACAAGAAATGTTAGAAGTTTCCCACATGGTCACATCCCTGATAGAAACCATGACAAAGCTGCAACATTTCCCATCATCCCTTTCATTCCCACATTAAATCCAAATCTGTATATCATCCACATTCTCCTGTGCTTTTAACCATTCCTCTATTTCCAAGTGTTCCTAATAGCAAACTGATAAAAACAAAGAAATAAGGCAAAGCCAACTGGAATCATCCATGTGTGTATAGTGCTAAGAAATGTACATATAGAAATAAAGAGCTAAAATGATTGCTGGTGTAATGACTGGGCATTACTAATCTGCTACATAGAGTCATGGTTTAAGGTTCTTGTCACATCACACAACTAAACCGGTCAGGGTTACTCCAAGTGAATTTGGGGAATAAATAAGACACAGACACAGAAAGTACCTTTTCTTTGGGTTCAGTGACTGCTCCTCAGCCACAGCTCCCATAAGGGGGGCAAGGCAGGCAAGAAAGAGAGCCTACCAGTATTAGTTCAGCACGTACTGAACCCTTTTATTGGGGATAAGCCATTTAAATGAGGCAAGGGGACCAGTTTCAGGGGGTTGAGTCTTGCTTAGGGTTTCAGGGGGTTGATTTGTGATGTCTTGCTGTCAGAAGGTTGACTGACATCTAGGAAGGTCACGCCCATCTCACGGGCTGTGTGGGGATCATAGGCAGAAGGAGCAAAAAGACGGATACATCGCCCGCCCAAACAGAGGAGCAACATCGGTTCAGTCCACCCTGTGCACTCAATGCTCATAGTTCACACACACACACACACAGCCCATGGCTGGCTTGCCACATCTCCCCACTCTAATCACTCAAAGCCAAGGGGTACTCGGTTCCCATGTGGCAGCTCCTGACAGGTTCTCATTCTTTTTTTTTTTTTTTGGTGCTGAGGATCAAATCCATACATATGCCAAGGAACTTTATCACTGAACCATGTCCCCAGCTCCATGTTATTTGGGGATGAGTTGTATTTTTCAATAAATTCTGGCAGGGTTAAATTTTCCCCAGAAATATTTAGGAAAATTCCCATTAGGCAAAGAAAGTAGGTGATAACTAAAAGCAAAATGGTATCTAATACTGTACCAATTTTAACAACCCCAAACTTACTAAAACATTTTCCTTTTCTACCATCAATCCTAAGAAAAATCTAATCTAGGTGAAAATAGACCAGGTTGAGGATGCTATGACAGCCTGGCCTAGTTACCCTTTCAATTGGTTTTCTAATCTTAATCTGCTTTGACTATGTGCACATAAGCATACAAGTCTAGAATCCTGACAAAGGAACAGAGTTAATGTAAATGGATGGATAGTTCAAATTCAGCAGGAGGTCTGAAAAACCAAACCCAGCTTAAAATACTACTACAGCATTCAAAATCATGGGACACTCCTATATCATGTAAGATGCCCCTGCTACCTCCACTACTGGGCATAACCCTGCAGCCTCCACCTTCATTGCTGGCACCTGGCCCTGTGATTGCTCCCCTAGAACCTCCATCTTGCTGCCAATGTCACCACCAAAAGTGTGGGTCTCATCTTTGCAAACTGGATCTTATCACTACCCTAGAACTGAACAGACCAGAGGAACCAACTCATCCTACCCCAGCTAACTTGAGACTAACATAGAAACCTGTTAGAGAATGAAGAGTTGGGCTGAATGAGGGTTTGAAATACCAGTCCTTTCCAGTGACTAAAGTGATCATATCCACTATCCAAAGCCCTCCTTTTCTGAGTTTTTTTTTTTTTTTTTGGTGGGAGCGGGTACTGAGGATTAAATTTAGGGACACTCACCCATTGAGCCACATCCTCAGTCCTGTTTTGTATTTTATTAGAGACAGGGCCTCACTGAGTTACTTAGTGCCTAGCTTTTGCTGAGGCTGGCTTTGAACTCTCGATCCTCCTACTTTAGCCTCTGGAGCCACTGGGATTACAGGCATGCACCACCGCATCCAGCTCTGATAATTTTGGTATATATGAAAACAAATGATTAATGTAAATGTTGCTGGCAGGTCTGGGACAAGAATAAAGTGAAGAAGATTTATCAAGACCCAGTGAGGCCTGTGGAATCATCCCTAACCCACATCCAAGAAACCTTCCCTGGGACCCACATTTTATCTGCCAGGTTTAGCTCCTTCTGTTCCTTGCCATAGGTACTGAGGGCAACTCTTCTCTGTTTTGGGTTTTCCCCTCCTCTGGACTGAGAATATCTTTTCCAGTCCTTTTTCCAGATAAAAGTACATCACAATTTGTTAAGTTCCTAAATTGGAAAGCACATGGGTTCTGGAATCAGTTAGACAGTTCTGCCACTTACTCTCTGTGTGAGACCTTGAACAAGTTCCATTTAACCTCTTTTTTGTGGGGATGGGGGGTAGTGCTAGGGATTGAACCCAGAGTTCTGTGTAAGCAAAGTGTGTACTCTACCACTGAACTACACCTTCAATCCCCATTTAAGTCCATTTTTCACCTGCAACAAGGGAATAATAAAAATACTATTTAGAGAGAAACACTGAGTGTAGTATCTGGCACACTTAATAACGAATACATTTTCAGGCTACATTCCAATCCTCTCTTTGACATTCAAAGTCACAGGTCACTTTGGCTATAGTTTTAAGTGAATTCCCCCACTCAGTGCCACATTTACAAGAAAAATGTTTTCTTGGTATATCTAAAAAGAACAAATAAAAAATGTTTTTGAAAAAACAAAATGTCATCTTGGTCAGATCAATGATACATAAGCCAGTCTTCCATATAAGACCATGATGCTTCGGATAAGAGAACACAGTGGTGTCCTTTAGTCCATCATCCCCTGAGAGGGCACAATTTCTCTAAGGATTAATCAGCCAATCCCTAAGTACTTCATAAACTTCATTGTCCACCCAGACAATTAAAAATCTCCTCTAGAATACAGATAAGTCTTACCAAAGACATGGCTGTGTGAGGTCAAATATTTCATATGATATATTATATATGGAAAAAAGGACCAAATTTTCTCCTCCATGGTGATCTTGGTTCTTTCCTTATATCTTTTACATTAAACAGTTTTTTTCTTTTTTAAACATTAAGTCTTAGGAAAATGTCTTAAAACTGGTTTTAAAAAGAATTGCTACAGGTGCTAGGGTTGTGGCTCAGTGGTAGAGCACTCACCTAGTGCGGGTGAGGTGATGGGTTCGATCCTCAGCACCACATAAAGATGGATAAATAAAGGTATTTTGTCCATCTACAACTTAAAAATATTTTTAAAAAAGAATTGCTATAAAAAAAGAAACATTTGTCACACACTTTTTCTTTTGCAGGCGAGTGTACCAGGGCTTAAACTCAGGGACACTCAACCACTGTGCCACATCCCCAGCTCTATTTTGTATTTTATTGAGACAGGGTCTCACTGAGTTGTTTAGAGCCTCACTTTTGGTGAGGCTGGCTTTGAACTCACAATCCTCCTGCCTTAGTTTCCCAAGCCACTGGGATTACAGGCATGCACCATTGCACCTGGCTCATCAGACTCTTAAAAGCAAAAGGTCATTTTCAACAACAGAAAAGCATAAATTAGTCAATAATTTTTAAACCATTCTAAAACCATAACTTGTAACTCATTCTAAAAATTCTTTCATGTCTCACCATTAGAATATCTTCAGGGCTAGTAGTAAGTTGATGAATAATTTGAAACATCTTGAAACACCTGCAATATGAAAAGTTTTGACATGGTAGTCACAAAAAACTTGTCACTCAAGAGAAACTCCCTAAGCTGAATTAATAAATAGATTTTAGGCTAGTAGTAAGTATATATTTAGGTTTACAAAGAACCACAAAATAGGTTTTTCAAAAATTATATATATCTGGAAAGATAATAAAATGACTGAAAATAAAACCTTATTATCTAACCCTGCCTCTGCTGCCAGTATCAGCAAATGGAAAAAATCAATACACCTTTACTTCAAGTCTAAAGAATATTCTAATATATCATAATTCATAAATAACACAAATCATTAAAAATACTGTCAATAGTCTGACAGTTGGAAAATGTTGTTAAGTTATATTCTCCATGCCAGATGATCACCCTCTTTTTTTTAACTACTAAAATCTGAAGTCTTATATTAAATTACTACAATCTCAAAATACTGATTTTAAAAAAGCCAGGCACAGTGGCATGTGACTTCAATCCCATTGGCTCGGGAGGCTGATGCAGGAGGATCATAGTTCAAAGCCAGCTTCAGCAACTTAATGAGGCCCTGAGTAACTCAGTGCGACCCTGTCTCTAAATAAAAAATACAAAAACAGTCTGAGGGGCTGGGGATATAGCTCAATGGTTCAGTGCCTGTGGGTTCAATCCCCAGTACCAAAATGGGGAAAAAAAAAAAAAAGAAAGAAAGTATTTCCACAACTCCCCAAACTCACTCTTCTAGAGTTCTTTTCTTTCCCTTGTCAATCATAGTCATATGATCATGGATTTTAAGATTTGGCTTCTTGGCTATTAATTTCCTCATGGTATTAGAACTAATGGATCCATTTAAGTGGGCATGAAGTTCCTAAAACAAGAGAATACAATCAGTAAGATCTTATCAAGCATACTGACTATTAGAGTGAGTTACATAACTTGTAAAGTTTACAGATTCTACCCATAAAATTTACTTTTGTTTTGTGGAAAGAAACAAAATAAAAATCATTGTAATGAGTAACCATTCAAGAATTCTCACCACTTTTGGCAATTCTGTGTAAAAGTTGGTCTTCCATGGCTGCTGCTGTTCTTCTACCTCCATGATTTTAGCAGGGAAAATCAATAATTCTTCTCCACTCTTATTCTTGATTTGAATAATACATTGTATTTCAGCAAATAAATTCTGTGGTCCTAGATTTTCTTCAGAATGCTTTACTTCCATGCATTTTTATAATATTGACTCGATATGTAGCTTTGGGCTCAATTTCACCTATTTTAACAAATGTGAATATTTTCAGATGCTGACATATAAGCAAATAAATAGAATAAGTAGAATTTTTCTTTAAAAGGTAAAAGCGCCTACAAAACTAACTTAAATGAGGTGGAGAAGTGATTAGTAAGCAGTAATTAACAAACAAAAAATAGGAAAAGGCCTCAAGCTAATAAGAGGTATATTAAAACCTGAAATTCAATAATATATTCCTTACCTATTAGCACTTTTTTTTTTTGGCTTTTTCATTTTTTTTTAGTTCATTTTCTCATTTTTATTTATATGAATATATATCCCATTGAAAATCTAAAGGATATTTTTTATTGTTGCTGATCTATGGCTTCTTTTATTATTATTATTATTTATTATTATTATTATTGTTATTATTATTTATTATTCTATTAGCACTTTCTATAAAATTACTTCAAATATTAGAAATTGTGTAAGACCTATTTCAAGTAAAAGTAAAAATAAATTTGTATATTTTTGGGACTGGGGATTGAACCAGGGCACTCAACCATGGAGCCACATCCCCAGCCCTATTTTGTATTTTATTTAGACATAGGGTCTCACTGAGTTGCTTAGGGCCTCGGCAAGTTGCTGAGACTGGCTTTGAACTTGTGATCCTCCTGTCTCAGCCTCCGAGCCACTGGAATTACAGGTGTGCACCACTGTGCCTGGCAAATTTGTATTTTTGATTGTTTAAAAAACATAAAGGGGGCTGGGTATGATTTTATAGTTCAGTTGGTAGAGTACTTGCCTCGCATGCACAAGGCCCTGCGTTCAAACCCCAACATCACCACAAAAAATAATAATAATAATAATTATATATATCAGAGGTGCTGGTATCAGATAGACTGATACCAGATAGACTTTTACCAGTGCTGCATTCTAATGATTGTATGACCATGTCACTTATGCCTCATGACTTCAGTTTCCTTATTTGTAAAAATGGGAAAAAAACAGAGTAGCTCTAAGGATTAATAAGGTAAATTGCTTCATTAAAGTGCAAAATCATACCTACTCTTGCATAGGTAAAGTCAACTTACCATAAATTGACTTACAGGTTGAATATCCCTTACCCAAAATGCTTGGAAACAGAATTGTTTTAGATTTTGGAATGTTTGTTTCATATACATGTTTCACATAGGGTCTAGAGGTAATTTTACACAATATTTAATAATTTTTTACATGAAACAGTTTCATGGTGTGAAATTTTCTACTTGTAGCATGGTCAGTGCTCAAAAAGTTTTAGATATTGGGCATTTCAGATTTCAGATTAGGAAAGCTCAACAGGTATAAAGTAAATGTTAATCAAAATATTCCCCCCACACACAAAAAAAATTCCTAGGACTGGGGTTGTGGCTCAGTGGTAGAGTGCCTGCCTAGCACATGTAAGGCACTGGGTTCGATCCTCAGCACCATATAAATAAATAAATAAATAAATAAATAAATAAATAAATAAAATAAAGTTATTATATTCAGCAACTAAAAATGTTTTTAAAAATTCCTAAAAAAATTATTTTAAAATTCATGTGGAAAACTTAACTTATAAAAGTAACCAGAAAAAAAATTCTGAATCCCAGAAGAATAATACTCAATGTTAGTAAAAGTATGAATAAAAAGTCTAGTGCGTAAAGAATTTGCTATAGTCTTTTAAAGAAATAATTTGGCAATATCTGTCAATGTAAAAAAAATCCACATATTTTTGACCCATTAATTCCACTAATAGGAATTTATCCTATAATAGATATGTACAAGTATTTTATTATAGAATTGTTAATAGCAGGAAAAAAACTAGAACTAACCTAAATGTTATCAGGGTACTGACTAAATTATATATCCATCAACTGATTATCTATGACTGTATGCAAAGATTTACTATAGAGTGCCACTTTCAAAAAGTAAATATATTTAGGAAGATGACATTTATTAACAGAATGTAAATATGTATGTATGTATACACACATACACTCATATATAGACGCATGAACATTTATTTGTATCATTATGCCTAAAACAATTATGAAAGGATACAAAGAAAATTGTTACCACTAGAAAGTAGGCTGAGAATAGGAAAGGTTCAGAGTTATTTTACTTTTGTTTACCTTATATATACTTTTGTGTAACCTAAAGTTCTTATTACAAAAAGCATGTAATCGGCATTTGCAGGTAAATGGATGAAGTTGGAGAATATAATGCTAAGTGAAGCGAGCCAATCCTAAGGCCAAATGTTTTCTTTGATATGAGGATTTTTACATAAACTGAGATTTAAAAAAACACTCATAGACACATAATGGCGAGTGTGGGAGTGGGAAGGGATGGATGGGAGGAATGGAGGAACTTTAGATAGGGCAAAGGGAAGGGAGAGGAAAGAGGGGCAAGGGGGTAGGAATGATGATGGAATAAATTAGACATCTTTACCCTAAGTACATGTATAAGACACGAATGGTGTGAAAATACTTTGTGTACAATCAGTGTCTTAAAAAATTGTGCTCTATATGTGTAATATGAAATGAATTGCATTCTGCCATCATATATAACAAATCAGAATAAATAATTTTAAAAAGTGGCAAAACTAAATAAAAGCATGTAATATTTGATTTTTTTAATAACTTAAAAAACAGTACTTGTGAAATACCTTTAGTATCATGAATTGCAAGAAGGATTTTATGTTTAGAGAACAGAATGACAGCCTAAAAAAGCACTTAGCTCATTTTATAATGCAAGCCTACAACAAACCTAACAGGTGGCCAACTTTCTGTATATACTTTCAACTCTATTCCAGGATACTGAATTTATTTTGTACCCCACTCAAACTGTCCTCCAGACCAACCTTTAGTTGTAAGCAAATTTTACTGGCCCACTGACAACAATGTCAATCATGGAAATCTAAAAGCCACCCAAACAGTCATGCTGTTCCTTGCCTAAGATTCTGCTTCCAACAATATCAATCCCTGCCAAATCCATGCTTCCTGGGCTGATTTTTGTGTGGGTCAGAAGAAACTGGGGTGGGGGAGAGAATCTAAAAGGCAATGAACATTGGGGTAAGATCTTTCTACATTAGTGGTATTTCATTGAGTTAGAGCAGTACCAGAACCAAATCTCCTTTTTCCCAGGGAACATTTTTCATACTGCCATCCCTTCCAAAAAGGGAACTCAGAATCATAAAAGTATTTGTTACTATTTATTATGTACTTACTATGAGAAAGGCACTGTGTTAAGTATCTTAGAAAGTTTTTTTAAATCCTCACAACTCACGAGGTATTATTATCTCCATTTTACATAAAATGAGATTTAAAAAAACACTCATAAGGTACCCAAATCATAGTTTTGCTCCATTTTCTTCTTACATATTTTTCTTGCTCTGCTCTTCGCAAAAAAAAAAAAAGTAGTATTTTAAACATGGCATCTATTTTACTAACTTGTCATTAAATAAATTTGTTTCTACCAAGCTAGATTTTTTCCCCAAAGTCCTTCAATTATTCTTTTTCTTTCCCAACTGGCCTGAATCAACACTGAGATACCTCAAGAGCAACACTTACGCCCCTCATTTTAGAGATGAGGCTCCAAAGAACCAGAAGCCTTAGGTGAGTCCTTTTTCACAATCTCTCCAGAGGCAATTCTAAACTCAAGTGTTCCACCAGATCCATCCAACTTACACTAAACTGCCACCAACTCTACAGAGAAAATAGAAAACATTAAGTATGAATTCCTTCTATTTTTCTCTGCCTTAATCTTTTCTAAACTTATCTTTAGCCATATTCTTTTGAGTCAGAGAAAAATGCTAATGTGTTCTGGGTCCCACTTCTTCCTATCTATTCCAAGTTGTTACTCCACCAATGAGTTATCGTCTCATTTTTCAATTTCTTCAACTTGTCCCTCTCTGATAGCTGATTTCCTTCAGGGGAACAACATGCATATGCAGTATGTATTTGCTTCCACCTGAAAACAGAAGGGGGGGAGGACTCAACTTTTATCTCACTTTCTTCATTAGCTACTACTGCTGTTTTCTCCTTCTGAATTAAGCTCCTTGAAAGCATAATTTAGCCTAGATGCCTCCATTAACTTATCTCTTATTCACCGAAACATGGATTCTGCCCTGATTGTTGCACAAAAACTGTTTCTCCCTAAGGTCATTTATGAGCTCTTAAGCACCAGAGCTAAATTATATTTTTCAATTATCAAATCTTCATCCTGATCTAAGCTTTTTCTTGACTCTAGTATGCAAATGAGCTGGACTCCAAAACTCATGCTCTTAACCATTATGTGCTACTGCTTGGAGTTAAATATACTGAAATCCATCCTGATTTCCTTCTCTATTTCAGCCTGTCATAAAATTAATAAATTATAAATTTCCTAAATACCTCTGAAAGCAGTTTCTTATTGGTGACTGCTAAACATCCAATTTGGAAACTTTATTTTAAAATATAACCTGGATTTCCTCCTTAAAAGCAGGCTCATAACATGTTACAGGAAATAATCATCTCTCTTCCATGACCTTTCACGGACATACTCAATATCACTTTAGAGTTACAGAATTTTGGAAGTGAAGGGGAGTAACATTTTATAGATGAGAAACAGAGGGTGAGTCTTTTACTCATTCTTAACCTAGCACAAGGAATACAAGGTTATCAATAGTATATATCTGTGGGGGGCAGTTATAAATATTTACAAATTATCTGTAAAGGTCTGTTTCTTCACTTTCCATATGGCCCGATTTTAGATTTTAAACAGGCTCTCTTTTGTACGACGAAAGCATTAAATAAATTCGCAACTATCATTAGCATCCAAGAAACGACTTCTTCTTGCCCTCCAAAGTCCGTGGTGCTGACCCTTCTTCGCCCCTACTAAATCCTTCCTTCGCCATCCAAGGAAATCAGGTCGTCAGTTCCCACACTCACCTCTGAGAGATGTCTCAACTATTAGGGCCCAGGTAGTTTCCCCTCAGACTGAAAGAGTGGGAGAAAGGTGACAACCCGCTCTCCCCTACACACGCTGTCACTGAGGTAGCAGGTGTCTTCTTGAGGAAACGTAATTCAGAGAATCAAAGAAAGGTCATTCACAGTTGAACTCTAGGACAAGTAACACCCTGTTCAATCCTGATTGGAGAGCTGCACTCTTCCCGGAAGTGACGTAACTCGTACATGAGGGGGTGACCTAGAGGAGGGGTAGTTTTCGGTACCGAGGGGCGTGAGATCTGTAACTAAAGAACAGCGGAGCGGTTCACTAGTGTGACGGAAGCCGTTCCTGAGTTTCTCCTGACCATGGGCCCGCGGAGCCGGGAGCGGCGGGCAGGAGCAGTACAGAGTACCAATGACAGCAGCGCTCTCAGCAAGAGTTCCCTAGCCGCGCGTGGGTACGTGCAGGACGCCTTCGTCGCGCTGTTGGTTCCGGGGACCGCGCGCCGCGCGCCGCTTATTCACAGAGGTTACTACGTCCGTGCGCGCGCTGTGCGGCACTGTGTGCACGCCTTCCTGAGGCAAGCGCGCGCGTGCCCTGAGGCGCCTCGCTCGCAGATCTTGTCTTTGGGCGCGGGTTCTGACTCGCTGTACTTCTGCCTCAAAACTGATGGCCTCCTGGCCAGGGCTGCAGTGTGGGAAGTGGATTTCCCGGATGTGGCGCGGCGCAAAGCCGAGAGAATTGCAGAGACACCGGAACTGTGCGCGTTAACTGGGCCTTTCCAGAGGGGCAATGCCGCGTCCGTTCTGTGCTTTGAGAGCTTGGACTACCACATTCTGGGCTTGGACCTAAGGCAGCTCCAGGAATTGGATGAGGCCCTGGCCTCCGCGGGCTTGGACGTGACCACACCCACTCTGCTCCTGGCCGAGGCGGTGCTGACTTACCTCGAGCCGGTTAGTGCTGCCTCCCTCATTGCCTGGGCAGCCCGGCGGTTTCCTGATGCCCTTTTTGTGGTCTATGAGCAAATGAAGCCTCAAGATGCATTTGGGCAGTTCATGCTGCAACACTTTCAGCAGCTGAATTCTCCCCTTCATGGCCTGGACAGCTTTCCAGACGTGGAGGCCCAGCGGTGCCGCTTCCTTCAAGCTGGCTGGACTGCCTGTAGTGCCATGGACATGAATGAATTCTATCACTGCTTTCTCCCTGCAGAGGAACGCTGGCGGATAGAAAATCTTGAACCCTTTGATGAGTTTGAGGAGTGGCATCTTAAGTGTGCCCACTACTTCGTTTTGGCAGCCTCTAGGGGAGACACCCTGCCCCAGACTCTGGTGTTTCCACCTGCAGAGGTATTTCCTCGAGTAGATCCTGCTTCACCTTCAGGAGTCTTGGATGCCAGAATAGTCACTAGTGACAATCAGGGCTCAACCCTTAAAACATTCGGCCATGCCTCTGTCCTCCTGAGCCCTGGCATTATTCTCAGTGCAGGAGGATTTGGAGAACAGGAGAGGCGGCACTGCAGAGTGAACAAGTTTCACTTGCTGTCAAGAAATAGTGACTCTGAATGGAAAGGCTTCCATATAGACAGTTGGGGGACGGGAACCCAGTGGGATGGACGTCTTTATCACACCATGACAAGACTTTCAGATACTCAGGTTTTGGTTCTGGGAGGGAGACTGTCCCCAGTAAATCCAGCCTTGAGCCCTCTACAGATTCATTTATTTAAAAATGAAGATAATAGCACTGAGAGCCTGAATGTGACAGTAACAAGGGCTGGTCCAGGAAATTTCACTTTGTCTTGTTGGCGGCATTCAACAACTGAAGTGTCCTATAAGAATCAGAAATATTTGTTTGTATATGGGGGTCGAAGTGTGCTAGAACCTGTACTAAGTGACTGGCATTTCTTGCATGTAGGGACAATTGCTCCGGTCAAGATCCCAGTGGAAGGGGAAGCACCTGAAGCTAGGCATTCCCACAGTGCCTGCAGTTGGCAAGGGGGAGCCCTTATTGCTGGAGGTCTTGGGGCTTCTGAGGAGCCATTGAACTCTGTACTCTTTCTGAGGCCAATCTCTTGTGGATTTTTCTGGGAATCAATAGATATCCAGCCTCCTATTACCCCAAGGTACTCCCACACAGCTCATGTACTCAATGAAAAGCTTCTACTGGTAGGAGGGGTCTGGATTCATTCTTCCTTAGTTCCCGGAGTGACTGTTATCAATTTGACTACAGGATTGAGCTCTGAGTATCAGATTGACACAACATGTGTGCCACGGCCATTAATGTTACACAACCATACTAGCATCCTCCTTCCTGAAGAGCAACAGCTCTTGCTCCTTGGAGGTGGGGGTAATTGCTTTTCCTTTGGTACTTATTTCAACCCCCATACAGTGACATTAGATCTTTCTTCCTTAAGTGTTGGGCAGTAAAGACTATGAACTCTTAATCTATTCATGACCCACTAAAGTAGACAATATAGGTTTCTACAAATTAGACTTGAATCTGGCTATAGATGTTGCTACTCCTTCCTCCTTCCTCTTTGTTTTCCTCCTTAGCCCTATTAAGTGAAGAAAGTGAAAAAGGGTATTAAGATACATACCAACAATCAGACAGATACACAAATATATATATCAACTATACAGTCCCAGAGTAAGGGCCTTTGCATTCATGTCCAGTTTATTGAACTTCTACCAATCTTCAAATCTTAGTTTAGCCATTTATTGACTTACAGTGGCTTTTATACTAAGATAAATACAAAATTTCCTATACCTAGGCTTTGTGACTTGAGAATGTACCTTAGAAAAAGTTGCACACAGATTCTTGGTAAGAATACAAGTTGAATATAGTCAGATGAATATGGGGAACATGGTATTAACCTAATTCTTTGTGTATAAAATCTAAGTGAACACAAAGTTTGATTAAGGTATTGTGCTTTTAAGTGCCACTCAATTCAGCTTTAACAAGAAATGTTGTATGACTATTGAAAACCATGTTTTGATTATTTTTTGCTACTTGTTTTATATTTATTTAGATTTATAAGTGCCAATAAACCAGATATTTGATGCCTCAATTCATATTGTACATGGTATAATAATGTTTTATTCCAGATCTACTCTACCTTACACTATCCATCCCTATGTTCTGTGTCCACTTTACCTTGATGGACTGCATCAATCAATTCTCTTGTCCTCGAGTTTTTTTTATTGATTCCTGTTAGTCAGAGACACTAAAAGAGGGGAATAGGGGCAGAAAGACTGAATCAGGTATTCCCAGCCCTTCCCCTGCCACTCTGCAGATTGGTGGTAGCAACATTCTTAAAAGGCTAAAATTTTATCATACTATAGTCCCGTGCTGTAAGACAGTGCTCTAATTATGTATTGCTACAAATGTCAGAAGTTGATCATTTTCCTTAACCTCTTCAGGCTTAGGAATTGTAATGGCTCTTTGTTAGATCTGAGCTACACTGTCCAATATAGTAGCTATTAGTAACATGTAGCATTTAATCAAATTCAGATTGACACAACATGTGTCATCTTCATAATTCCTCTCTTCCTTAGGGTCTTTTTTTTTTTTTAAGAGAGAGGGAGAGAGAGAATTTTAATATTTATTTTTTAATTATCGGCAGACACAACATCATTGTTTTGTATGTGGTGCTGAGGATCGAACCCGGGCCGCACACATGCCAGGCGAGCGTGCTACCGCTTGAGCCACATCCCCAGCCCCTTCCTTAGGGTCTTCTTAGAAGAAAAGGTCACAGAGCTGTCTCCCCTCTCCAAGGTTATGCCCTAGGGAGATTTTTGTTTTTCTTTGTCATTCAGTGAAGGAATTAAAGTGCATTGGACTTATTTCTCAGTTTCTCAATACTAGCTTCTGCCATATAATAAAAATGAGAAATTTGAGGTGGGCTTGTGGCTCAATGGTAGAGCACTTGCCGAGCATGCGTGAGGCACTGGGTTTGATCCCAGCACCACATAAAAATAAATAAATGCCACTTTTTTTTTAATCCATTCATCCATTGAAGGATATCTAGGTTGGCTCCACAGTCTAGCTATTGTGAATTGTGCTGCTATAAACATTGATGTGGCTGGTCCCTGTAGTATGCCGTTTTTAGGTCTTTTGAGTATAGTCCTAGAAGAGGAATAGCTGGGTCAAATGGTGGTTCCATTCCCAGTTTTCCAAGGAATCTCCATATTGCTTTCCAAATTGGCTGTACCAATTTGCAGTCCCACCAGCAATGTATGAGTGTACCTTTTTCCCACATCCTTGCCAGCACTTGTTGTTTGACTTCATAATGGCTGCCATTCTTCCTGGAGTGAGATGGTATCTTAGAGTAGTTTTAATTTGCATTTCTCTGATTGCTAGAGATGTTCAGGTCCTTGGCCCATTTGTTGATTGAGTTATTACTCAGCACTAAAAAAATAACAAGATCATGGCATTTACAGGGAAATGGATGGCATTGGAGCAGATTATGCTAAGTGAAGTTAGCCAATCCCAAAAAAACAAATGTCGAATGTCTTCTCTGATATAAGGGAGGTGACTCAAAATGGGGTAGGGAGGAAGAGCATGAGAAGAAAATTATCTCTAGATAGGAAAGAGAGGTAAAAGGAGGAAAAGGGAGGGAAAGGAAGGGAGAATGGGAATTGCACGGAAGATGGAAGGAGACCCTCATTATTATACAGATTACATGTATGACGATGTGAAGGAAAAAAAAAAAAAGAAGTGTGTCACATTAGATTGGGTAGAGAGAAGTGAGGGGAGGGGAGGGGAGGGGGCATAGGAAGGACAGCAGAATAAAATAGACAGTACTATTGCTGTATGTATATACGTGACTGTACGACCAATGTGATTCAGCAACCTGTACACTCAGAAAAAGGAGTAATTATACCCCATTTGATTCAAATGTATGATACGTCAAGATCACTATACTGTCATGTGTAACTAATTAAAACAAATAATAATAATAAAAAGAAAATAAATAAAATAAAGTTATGGTATCCATCTACAACTAAAAAAATATTTTTTAAAAATGAAAAATTTGGTTGGTACATGCCTTTAATCCCAGCAATTTGGGAGACTGAGGCAGGAGAATCCCAAATTCAAGGCCAATCTTGGTAATTTAGCAAGATCATCAACAATTTATTGAGAACTTGTCTCAAAATAAAAAGAACTGGGGATGTAGCTCAGTGGTAAAGCACCCCAGGATTCAATCCCCAGTACCAAAAAAAAAAAAAAAAAGGCAGGGGTTGGGGGGGATTTGAATACAGGAAAGTGAAACTTTCAACTGAAGATATTTGATCATTCATCTGTTCAACACTTAAGTGTTCTAAGCAGCTATATCAGTGAACCAAAAATAATCCCTTGTGGAATTTACACCCTATGGGGGCAGACAAGAAATTAAACAATAAAACTAATAAGCACATTGAATATTATATTAGAAGTGATAAGGACTTTGGGAAAAAAGTAAAATAGGGTAAGGGGGATATCAGGGGCTCATATGGGTAGAGGTAGTGTGTTACAATATTAACTAAGGTAAATAGGGTCCCTCTCTTGGTGAAGTGAAATTTTAGCAAAGACTTGAGAAGCTGAGGGAGTTAGCTGAGTAGATTACTAGGAAAGAGTATTTTAGACAAACGGAATAGCTGGAGCAAAGCTTCTGAAGCCATTCATAAAGAATTTCAGATTTTAATCTGGCTGAAAAAGGGGAGTTGTGCAGGGCATTGGGTGATACCATTTGACTTTTTTTTTTTTTTTTTTTTTTTTTAACAGACTTTAGTTTTTAGAGTGGTTTTAGGTTCACAGCAGAACTGAAAGGAAGGAACAGAAGTTTCCCATCCACCCCCTTCTGGCATGCATAGCTTCCTCCACTGTCAACACCTCTCATCTGGTCATTTTTGCTACACTGAATCTACATCAACACACAATTATCACTTTGACACATAATTATCAATTTGAACATACATTGACACACAATTGTCATTCAAAGACAACCCAGATGAAGAGGCTTTCTATATCACAGATTTGTGTGGAAGGAGATCCGAAGGTTGTGTATGTTGGATGTTTATAAAACATGCAAATGAAGACCCAAGTACTTAAATACCTATTCTATAGCCTTTTTTCTTGTCCTCTGCATTCAGTCACCTTTTCCATTTCCTTCTATAAATATCCAAATCAAACTTAGGAGTGGGAAATGGCTGAATTGGAAACACACACTGTGGCTTGAGGAACAGGAGAACCAAATCCTCACAGCCCAAGTCTGGCTCTTGGCTCTTTGAACCACTTTTATTCAGACCCATTGTCTTGTCTTTTTCTGATTTCATTTTTTCTATATTTTATCTTATGTACTGTGTAATTCTTTATTAGCAGCTTTTTTTCCAGAAACTAGAATTGGATATTCACTGTCTCACAAGCTTATCCCTTGCAATCAGTCTCTCCGCACACCATCTCCCCTCTTTCGGCATCCTATTTACATGACACTATACCTACTTCCTGATGTACTCAGCCCTGTTTCATGCTTCCATTCCTTTACTGACAATGTTCTTCCTCCCTGGACTCTTAATTCTGCCCCTATAATCCCACTTCCATGCTGTCCTAACCATGTTCACACAACTCCTACTTGATGTTCAAAGCTTCTTTGCAAAGTATTCCCTGATTCTAATCCTCCCCTGTTTCAGGCTTAAACATGCTGCCCTTTTGTATTGCCGTAGCACCTTGTAAATATCCATACTGAATTTTTCATTTGTGTTATAATCTGGTTTTTTTTTAACATGTTTTCTCCATATTGAAGTTCCTTGGGGTCAGGGGTAGTATCTTTTTCTTTTTCCTTTCTTTCGATTAATTAATTTTTTTATTCCTATTTGTTATGTAAGACAATAGAGGGGTAGTATCTTATTCATCTTTGTATTCCCAATACCTAGCACTCTATAAGTACTTGAACTGAACAAGGGTGTCTCACTTGTTAAAGCCAGACCTTTCTTACCCCCTCAATATAGTAAATCCCATGCCACTGCCTTCCTGGGAAAGGGGAGAGTAGCAGCAGAGAAAGCTTTGAAACATAGATGTGATAATACATACCAGCTTTTAGGAATCCCATGCTTAGTTCTGCTTCTTCCTTTGCCTCCTCCTTAATCTGGTGGATAGATATAGATATCTGGTGGATAGAGATAGAGGTAAATAACCACATATTCACCATCTCACAAGCTTATCCCTTGTAATCAGTCTCTCCGCACACCATCTCCCCTCATTTGGCATCCTATTTTTATGACACTATACCTACTTACTGATGTACTCAGCCCTGTTTCATGCTTCCATTCCTTTACTGACAATGTTCTTCCTCCCTGTTTTTTTTTTTTTTTTTTTGCATTGTTTTAGAATGCCAGAATATGAATCACATTTTTATAAGAAAGAAGGTCCACCCCACTGTGACTTGAACATGTAAATTACACTCTAGTCCAGTTTCCTTTAATTTTTTTTTCCAGTTAAGGTTTCAGCTGAGCCCCTGGACTCACACCAGTGTCAGTTCAATGACATAGGTTCAGCTAGAAAACACAGCAACTTGAAATTTCTGTATCCTGCTATGTGCTATCTAACAGTTCATTTAAAAGCCCTAATAGCTCTTATCTATTGTATAAGTCATAGTGCTTATGGTAGAAATGCTAGAAAAAGCAAGATCTACTATTTAAAAACATTTTCTAGGATTTTCTGATCAGATTGGGGTCACATTATTTCCCTTTTTCCAAACTATGAATAAAATTTTCTCCCACAAACACAAAGAACATTAACTTCAGGATGACAGAATCAAGTGGCTGATGGCTCTTTTGCATGACTCTTGTTTGCCCAGTATCTGCATGCCAATTCCTAGAGTTGATGAATCTCCTCACCGACCACTGATTGCCTTCTCTTGCCTATACTTGATAAGAATAATTCCAAATACCTAAAGATATTAAGATTAGGACACCAAGATATCGTAATATTCTGCATGCCCTTTTCTTAAAAGATGAGAAATATGGTCTGCAAAATTAGCTTGGGGGAGACCTGCAGGGGAAAAATATTATTAAAATGAAGAATGAAAACACTGCTACTCAGGATTGGTGAGAAGTAAAATATAAACCTGAGAAGCATAGATAATCTGTAGTCACTGGTAACCTGAGCTAACTTTTACTATCCTGAAGACCTGACGAGAAAGAACTGTGAAAAAGCTCACCCTGGACAATTGAACCAATGGTGTCCATGCAAGTAGTAGTTTAAGATCATGGAATTTGGAGTCAGACAGACCTGTGTTTGAATCCTGATTTTACTCTTCCAGGTGATCTTGGGAAAATTACTTAATATCTGGAAAATCTCAGTTTCCACATCTGTAGAATGGTTACTATAATGACACCACATTATAAGTTGATGGTAGAATTGTATAAAATGATGTCAATAGAGCATTTAACACAATGTGAGACATACAATAAAAGTATAAGTTAACCCAAGACATGTCAAGATAGGGAGGAAGAGTCTACATCCTTCCCCAAGCAGTTTGTCCCTAGAGTTATCAATCAGTCCATTTCTAAGGACTGTTTAACACTGTGCAAGATCTTGTGGGAGGAAACATGGTCTCTACCCTCAAGAAGCTTACAACCTAACAAAAACCAATGCACCAAAGCAACTGGAGAACAATTAGTAGAACAGAATGTCTTCAAGTCAGAAGAAACCAGATAAAGAGCTGAGTGCAAAGCTATGTAGTTTCACAACTACATAGGTGATTCTTAGAAAAATGCGTTTTGATTGGAGTAGATAAAGAATGCCTCAAAGTTAATATGGCATTTGTGCCTATATTGAAAGAATGAATAGAATACAGAACAGAAAAAATAAACACTTATCAGGTGGTAAATAAGGATCAGGCTTTTGAAATATTTCAAAGGTAGTATATATTGCCTTCTTGATGATTCTTATTTGGTTCCCTTAGTCATTAGTACTAGGCTAGGAGGTGTAGAAGAGAGGGAAGACATAAGAGAAAGTGATGAACCCAGCCTAATTCCATCTTAAGATTGGGAGCCATCTTGTCACAAAGTCATGAAAAGTTAATTTCTGTTTTACTATAAATTACTGAGATTTCTAAGCTTGTTTGGAATTCCTGCCCGTGCCTTGAATTGAACTCACCCATGCCTGGCTTTCCCTGACCAGATAACAACCCTCTCTAAAACCTTAGTGGAGCATAATAAATCCTGGCTCCCCCAACCAGATAACAACCTTCTCTGAAACCTCAGTGGTACCTCATAAATTCTGATGTTGGGATCTGAATTTATTCCCTACCTTGAAATATCATGCCACATAGAGCATTAACCTGTTATCTGCCTTTGTATTATGCTTGTCAAAATCCCCTTATCTGTAAGTTCTCAAGACCTCCCCCTTTGCAACTTTTTGTGCTATAAATCTCATTCTTGAAGAGCTGGGGGTGCTGGTTTCTAGCTCGCATTAGGGGAGAGAGTCGCTGATTAGCTCTCTTTGTGTAGACAAATACAAGCTGGCTTTAATTTGATCTAAAATTGGAGTCTGTGGTCTTTCCTTTGTGTCAGGGTTCAACAAAGGACCGTCTACATGGGAAAATGAGCTGAAACTCCTTCTGGTCCTGGAAGAGAAAGACAAGAAAGGGATATGGCAAGAATCTAGGAGTATCCTGGTTTCTTATCCTCCCTTCTCCATCTCTACAACTCTGAAGAGGAAGAGTAAATGGTGGTAGAGGAATCCAGATGGATTTAGGTAACTCCCAGTTCAGGGACTTAGTTCTCAATTCTTTGGGCAAATCCTGGGGAAACTGTAAACTGCTCAGAGAGGCTCCATAATCAACATGGCACCACAGCAATATGGGGCCAACCAGGAATAATTCAGAAATTGCTGTGAGTATGAAGATCTGAACTAGCACCATAGTTTTTACAGCCTGTGTGTGGCAGGTAATGGAACCAGAGTTTTTTCATAACTAGTGTGGAGGCCTGGGGTCAAACTAAGGGAAACTACCAAGAGGGAACATGAACTTCAGTGGAAGAAAGAGGAGTCCAGAATGAGTTTCAGAGAAAGTGGGTCAACTTGAACCTCAGTAGCCAACACAGAACACAGCAGAGCCAAAGGAGATCACAGGACATCCAAGATTAGAGAGGAGCTGGAGGCCTGTGCTCCTGTCCCTGTGAGGATATGTGAGCTTCCCCCACCCACGGTGTTCAGAAGTCATCTTAGGAAGAGGGCAGTTGCCTCGGTCTGGCTGGGCACAATTCAGGAGCCACTTGTCAAAAGAAATGAACTTTATTTTTAGAACACACACACCAAACCACACAGCTCCTCAGGAAAAACCTTCAGAGCCCAAGTTCCACCACCGGCTTCCCACAAGCCTCTCAACCTCCCCCACTCCTCCTGCTCTTGAGGCTGAGGCTGATTGGCTGGGTGGAGTGGGCAGAGCCAAAAAACGTCCCCCAATGAGCAGCTCCGTGGTCTGAAAGGGCGGGGAAACAGCCCAATGAGCATCACCGCAGAGGAGCCAATCAGTTGGCAGCTAGAAGTTTGCTTGGGCCGTTGTGAGCCAATCATCAGCTGGCAGCTGGAAGTTTGCTGGGGCCCCTTTCGGCTGTGGCTCTCAACAGGCAGTGAGTGAAAGCTATGTCTTGAGAGTGGAGAAACAGCCTAAACAAAGAGTTTGAATTTTGAAATGGCTAAAGGAACACAGTTACCTAAGGTTACGTAGTTAGCAAGTGGTGGAGCCCCAGAGCCTGTGTCCCCAGTCACTACACTACACTTGGACGTCACTGAGCCGGATGATTTCTCAAGTGCCTTGGAAGTTGCCCAAAAGTTGAATACCATAGGTACTAGGGAGCCATTATGGATTCTGACCTGGAGACCTGTATGGTGTTTAAGGAAGACCAGTCTGGCAAAGTCCTATAGGATGGTATGAGGAGACTCTGAAAGCAAGATAAAAATGAAACTGCAATATCTATATAACATAGGCCAGAAATGATAACAGCTTAAAGTAGAGCAGTTACAACAAAAACACAAGAAGGAACATATCACAGACTACTTGTAATAATAATAAAATTAGTAGCAGACTGTTTCACCGACATTATGTGCCACCACTGTGCTAAATATTACCTCATTTGACTATCACAGCAACTGTTATTTTTAGTCTATTATTTTAAGTTTGGTATTTTTCCTTTTCAAAAATTAAAAAAAAAAATTGCAATACTAGGGATTGAATCCAGAATCACTCTACTACTGAGATATACCCCTATCCCTTTAAACTTTTAATTTTTGAGACAGAGTCTATGATAAATTACTGAGACTGGCCTTGAACTTGGAATCTTCCTAACTCAGCCTCCCAAATAGCTGGGATTACAGGTGTATACCATCACACCAGCTGCTATTTTTCTCATTTTAAGGAAATGAAAGTACAGGGGCCATTAAGTAATGGGCCCAAGGCCACATAGCTGTAAGTGGTTAAGCCAGGCATCAAACCCTATGTGAGGTTGTAAGGAAAATTTGCAAAGCAGTTTGGAAAGGAAGTAACCTAAAGGTTCCAATGTAGTATGATGTGAAATTCACTGGAAGAACATTCCTGAGAATGATCGTTTAAGAATAATATTCTGTCTGTTCATAGAGCCCAAGATCTTAATCAGTCTTCTGATCATGGGGGAAAGAGATGAAAGGATCAGAGATTACATCAAAATGCTCATTTCTGAGATTAGAAAATGGTGACATTGATGACAGAAATGGGTAGTTGGAAAGGAGAGATAGTTAAAGGGGAACTCATAGAAAATGAGTTTAGTTTAGGATATGTTGAGTACGCCAAGATGGCATGCACAAATCAATTGCCCACGGGCTGGAATGAGATTTAATGGAACACAAATGAGTTTTGTTTTTTTTTCTTTAGCCCGATCTGTAAATTTGAGCCTTTGGTGAATACAGGGGAAATAGTAATGCCAATCTTCAAATTTAAAGGTTTACATTATTAACTTGGATCCTCTCTTTTGCCTTTATACTATAATAAATAAGAAAAGAGTAACCTGTGTTCTCTCCATGATACTAGAGGCATTTACATCAAATGACAAGTGAATTTAGAAATCTAATGCAGAACATAAATTGTCATCATTGATTTACATTCAGCAGAATACTTTTTGTGGTAATGTGACTCTTTTGTGAGCCTCAGCAATTTCTAGATGCTGGACTCAGGCTTGTGGTTACTCAATAAACATCTTCACCTTTCCTTCTTTCTTATATCAAATAAGGTGTCAACAAGCCATAGCCCTGCCTTCTTCATTACCAAAAATCCTGAGTCATTTGCTAAGGTAATTACTGTGGGTAACCATCTTAGCATAGAAGGTGAACTATCCAGAAATGGAATGGATCAATGAGTAATGAAGTACATTACCAGCTGGTCAACCTCTGTAGTTCTGGCCAGGGGCTCCTTCAACAAAAACAAGCAAGGGAAAACAAAAAGAAGGGCAGACATGTGACTTTAAATAAGTAGTCATAATTGTTTCTATTTATTGAGAACTGACTCTGGGCCCAGAACTGGGACAAGTGGTTTCAAGAATTATCTCTGTAATCCTCACACCCTATAAAGAGGAACTATTATCATGTCCTCTTTGAAGATGAGGAAACTGAGGCTTAGAGAAGGGATGTCATTCGTTCATGGACACAGGCCAATTGTAAAGAAAAGATTCAAATTCAGAATTGAGAATCCTGTCATAATCCAATGTCAAGGTAATTCCAAGGTGTGGACTGAATCCAAACACACTACACTAATCTTCCTTTTTAAAACAACCACCACCACATTTTATAGTACCAAACTGGAAGAGTCAAGCTGACACTTCAGGGAACATGCTGCTGGTTGGACTGGCCATACAGGCAGCATCGACCCTGCCCCTGAAATGCCAAAACTCCCTTCTCCTCATTGTCAATCCAGCAACCTGAAACCCATTTCTGTTGACTTTGAGAACTAAGCCTTACATAACTCTTTATTGCCTTACTTCTTTTATAGGCCTATGATTTCATGCCACATCAAATAAGGAAGGCACTGGTTTCTGTCACAGTAGTTGAACACAAGTCATTAAGGAGAACCATTGTCCTTTTGTCCAAAACAGCCTACCAAGCATGGAGCAATGATAGAAATGTGTGGTATTTCCTGGGGATGGTATAGGGCAGGCAAACATCCCAGGTGCCCAGTCTATCTTACTGGGAAGTGAATTAACATGGAAATCATTCTCTCATCTGGAAATTTGCTGCTGTTCTACCAAGTAATTTAGAAACCTGATCCTTTAATCTCCCTGTCTCACATCTTTAACCTCATTTGATCAAAGTTAAAGAATGGGCTCTAGCTTTCAGATCCTCATATGAGGATATAACTGCCCACATTTTAAAAAAAAAAGATGTCTGCCCCTAATTAAAGCCCTCTGAGACTCATCTTTATGTCTTTTCAGGACCACAGGAAAGTGTCGATTTCAGGAGGACTGAGTGAAAATCTGGCCAAAATTTAGTGGAAATGCCTGCTGTTTTGAACCTGGAAACATTGCTTAATGGTTGCACATGGCTCCTGGTTATCACCACACCCCTGAAGTATTGGTGAAACCACAGGACACCTCTGACACCTTATTTCATTTTTTTTTTTTTTTTGTACTGGGATTGAACCCAGTACAGGGTGCTTTACTACTGAGCTATATACCCAGTCCTTTTTATTTTTTATTTTGAAGTAGGATCTTGCTAAGTTGCTAAGGGTGATCTCAAACTTGCAATCTTTCTGCCTCAGCCTCCTGAGTCACTGGGATTGCAGACATGCGCCACTACACCCAGGTACCCTGTCTCATTCTTGAACACTATCCAGATGCTTCCCTTCAGAATGCTGTGTTTACAAACAAATGGGGCTTCCCATTCCTCTCTCTTTAATGAACATCCTCACTCTTTGCTTTTATAAGGAACTCTATTTAACTGATTCATTTGAAATTATTTATGGGGCCATAAACAATTGGTAGGGGAAAGGAAGGCTCAAGAGAAGGAGACCAAGATGTTTGTAAAAGTACTACAGCTCTTTCCTGACCTTAAACTAACACATTTCAGGAGATGAAGCCATCTCTCACTCAAGGCTTCTGGAGAAAGTGTTGCAATGATGGCTTAGCTGTCCTGGCCCCTTGCCTAGGTGCAGGGTTTCATCTGCCAGGGTTAGAGAACAGCCACACCTCACCTTAATGATTTTTGCCTAAAGTCTGACCCAACCAATGAGAATTCAAACCAGAATAATCATTAACAACACTAAAAACTGACGCAGAATGATCATAGCCTGATTTCTTGTCAGGTTCTAAATAAACTTTCCATCACCTAGCCCAGCTGCTTTTCTTCTGGTTTAAAAGTTGTTCAGAGAGTTGCTTGGGTTCATTCCACATTTGAGCTGAACCTTCCCCAAACAACAGGCAGGGAATTGTCAGCACAGGTGGAGTCCTAGGAACTGGGACAAGGGCTTAAGAGCCGTGGAACCATGGGATGAAATCAGGCAAGGTGTTCCCTTTCCCTTTGTCTATAAAGAGAGCAGAGGGGTCTCTAGGCTATGGCCAAATCTACTCATATGAATTCAGTATAGAGCATACTTAGTCAGTTAGAGAGTATCTAGCAGATCAGAGTGCATACTCCTTATGGAGTGGTTCATGCCCTTTTAACAGAGGTGGGAAAGGCAAGACCCTTCATGGCAGTCACATGGGGCATAGAGACATTTTAGAACCTGGATCCAC